GACCACTGCTCTTGAAATGTGCGATTCCTGTTGCACCCACTCATGGGTCTCGGCGGGCCTAGCACAGCATTTAAATTTAACTGGCCCAAAGCTAGATATTCTGGTAAACGGCTTCAATTCGACGGAATCCGTTCCCACGCAACAGGTCCGAAGTCAATTTAGGGTTACGCCGTTTGTGAAAGACAGTTTGAGCGTTGGTTCCGAAACCATTGACGTTCCCGTTCTCCAAGACAGGTTTCCACATCTGCAGCCAATTAAACCTATTGTCTACAACTATTCCGACGTTGAGATGATATAAGGGCAGGATGTCTTTCATGCAATCAAGCCTCTCGAATACTTCCAAGGACGAAATCAAAATACTCCTGTCGCTGTCCGTATGCCCATTGGCTGGGTTCTCAGTGGCCCACTCCCATCACCAATTGGTGTTCGAGCCACCACTTTCAAGTGCAATGTTGAAGACGTAGCACTTGCTGACCAAGTGAAGAAATGGTACGAGCTAGAGTCGTATGGCACGTTTAAACAAGCTGATCCCCGTTCCTCAGCTGATTAACGTGCACAAAAAATTATTGACTCTACCACGATTCATAATGTCAGCCGTTATGCTGTCGGAATTCTCTGGGCTGATGACAACATTCATCTTCCCGATAACTTTTACGCTTCATTGGTCCAGTTTAAGTCTTTTGAAAAGCGTCTAGAGAAAGATTTAAACCTGAAAACTCAATACGCATCAGATATCCGAAGTGATCTCGAGAAGGGTTACGTAGTCCCGGTTAGCCCTCACGACTCAAAAAACTGTTCAGACCGAGTATGGTACGTCCCGCACCACCCAGTTTCAAATTCGAACAAACCCGGCAAAGTTCGGCGCGTTTTAAACGGTGCTTCTAAGTTTCACGGCAAATCACTGAATAATTCCCTTCTCGTCGGTCCCGATCTGCCTCAGAACTTTTTATTCGTTTTAATGCGCTTCCGAGAGCACAAATACGCAGTTTCCGCAGATATCGAAGGCATGTTTATGCAGGTCGGCTCACTAGAAAGCGATCAACGTTCCTTGCGTTTTTTGTGGCGGGAGGACCCAACATCAGATGTGAGTGTATTTCAATATGCAAGGCATATATTTGGAGCGAAAGATTCTCCGACATGTGCTAATTATGCTCTTCGCCGAACAGCCGTCGATAACCAAGATCGTTACCCCGATGCCGCTTACGCCGTGCTAAACAACTTTTACATGGATGACTACCTTGGGTCTGTGAAAAACCCAGAAACTGCTTTAAGGTTAAGCCGCAGTTTAGTTAAACTGCTTAAGTTGGGTGGGTTTAATCTTACAAAATTTAATAGCAACGTTCCCAATTTGTGTTCGAAACTAAACCCTCCTAAGACCAGCGCCAACAACAGTAAGGAAATTATTACCGCTGCGATTAATCCGGAAACCGCATCGCATGTTCTCGGTCTCAAATGGGACCACGTCACCGATACGTTGGTTGTGAGCAGAGGAGTCAACCGCGAACTCAATGACTCTGTTACGCAGCGATCGGTCCTTAGTTTTGTGTCCTCCGTGTTCGACCCCATAGGTCTTGTCGCCCCGTATACCGTACGCTTACGTTTGCTACTGAAAGATATCTGGAGATTGAGTGGCCAACAGTGGGACGACCCACTGCCAATTGAGTTGTGCCGCAGATTCACTGAATGGCACTCTGGCTTGCCAGTTTTAGGGCAGCTCAAAATACCTCGTTGCTATTTTGACTTCCCAGTAGATGAGGTTGAGCTGCACATGTTCGGTGATAGCTCATTGGACGTTTTCTGTTCTGTAGCATTCCTTCGAGCTCAGAAAACGCCTATTCCAAATGTCAACTAGCGTTTGTCTTCGGTAAGGCAAGAGTAGCCACGATGAAGATGCTTTCAATTCCGAAGTTGGAGCTTCAGGCTGCGCTTCTTGCTAGTCGCCTAAAGGATGATATCGAGAAAGCTCTGACACTGAGTATTTCCAAAGTGTTCATGTGGACTGACAGCACAACAGTCCTTCAGTGGTTGAACTCGACAAGCAAACAGCCCGTCTTTGTAGCCAACCGAGTAGCCGAGATTCTGGAGTCAACATCAATTGACCAATGGTTCCATGTTTTGAGTGGAGACAACCCCGCTGACACCGGAACTAGAGGTATTACTGCTGACTTCGTCAAGCAAAGCAGTTGGGTAAACGGCCCTTCCTTTTTGAAAACTTCTGATTGGCCTTTCAATCCAAATACGGAAGTTAATGACAAAATTCGCCTGGATGGTCCGGTCTGCGATCTAAATGAGGGTTTAGAGGTCTCTTCCAATTTTCCGTGCACTGCAGTTTCGACTGACTTTGCCTTCCCTTGGTAAGAGTATAGCTCGTTCTTTAAGATAAAGCGACTGGTCGCATATATGTTGAGACTCTCACAGAAGCATAGACATTTCAGATCACCAGATAAGGCCATAATTGATGCAGCAGAACTTGTCATTTCAAAGGAAAACTTTCGCAACTTTCGCAGTTAGAGTCATTCCCAGCTGAAAGTAAACAATTAGCAGCTGGAAAATATGTGAAAACATCGAGCCGTATATCATCGTATTCGCTTTTTATCGGACCGAACGGTTTAATTAGATCTACCGGCCGTATCCAACGTCTTTCCGCAACCGCATTCGAAACTCGCCATCCAATAATTTTGGATAGCCGCCATCGCCTAATCCGATTGTTTCTCCGTTTTTATCACATTAAGCACGAAAATCAGCCAGTCGACTACCTTCGTTCCGTCATTCATCAGCAATTTGTTGTACTACGCTTAAGATCTGCACTAAGAGCTATTGAAACACATTGCGTGTGCTGTAGAAAGCAAAAACCGTTCCTCCAATGATGTCTGATCTTCCCGCGGAGCGTCTAGGTTACTGCCAGCCACCGTTTTCGAACTGCGGCGTCGATTATTTTGGACCAATTCATGTAACCATTCGTCGATCTTCCGAGAAACGCTGGGGTTTTCTATTTACTTGCTGAACGACTCGCGCAATTCACATTGAGTTGGTTCCATCCATGGACACCAGTTCATGTGTGATGGCTATCGACCGCTTTATTTCTAGGCGAGGAACACCCTCAATAATTTGGTCGGACAACGGAACAAACTTTGTAAGAGCCGAAAAAGAGCTTCTTCTGTGCATCAAAAATTGGAACGCAGAAGCTCCACTGTCGCTCGTACACAAAGGCATTAAGAGGAAATATAATCAGACAAGTGCACCACATCAAGGTGGAGCATGGGAGCGAATGGTGCGCAGTTGTAAGCGTGTGTTTTATGCAATCTTAGGGCCAAGAAAGTTGACTGACGAGATTTTGAACACAACCATGTGCCTAGTTGAAGGTTCACTAAATGCCGTCCACTCACTCCCGTTTCTGACGACCCACATAGTCTTGATGCTTTGACGCCGAATCATTTCCTCTTAGGTCAGCACAGTCTAACGTTTCCGTCTCTAAGGTCGAGTAAAAACTATTCTCACTCTAAACGCTATGCCCGTGCGCAGTCGTACGCAAACGCAATTTGGCAGCGATGGTTAAGTGAGTACGTCCCTACACTCAATAAAAGAGTTAAGTGGCATGCTCCTCCCGAATATTATTTGAAAACGGGAGATATGGTGTGGTTAGTTGAATCCACTAGCCCTAGGGGCCACTACACACTAGCACGCATAATGTCGCTAAAATACGGCAAAGACAACACCGCCCGCTCCGCAAACCTAAGGACCGTTTCCGGAAACTACACTCGGCCGCTCGTTAAGCTCGCTCCGGTTCTCGCTCCTTCGGGGGTGGAGGATGTTAATGCTACATAGCATTAAAGTTGAAAGTATAGTATAAAGCCAGTATAGTTGCTTAGCAATACCAGCTATATAGCTCAGCGTATACCTAGTGCGTTCCGGGGAGTTCGGCGTGGGTTCGATTCTCACGTAAGTCGTTTCATTTGAGAATCCTATTTGAGCCGAACCTGACAGAACATAAAATGCTAATATTTTAATCGGTTCAAAATTGGTTTGCAATTGAGTTTCTGTTAATTAAACTGCGTGAACTAAGTGTGAATTCATTGTGAAAAAACACATAAATCACACAAATCAGCGCATGAACAAGCCCAGTTTTTAACTTGATACGTGTAATGTTGTTGCTAATTCCGTGCAATATAAATTACTAAAATTCGCCGTTTCTTGATTCTCTTGAATTAAACCGATTCTGTTTCCTGTTTGTATTTGAGTTGTAAAAAAGGCCAGAATAATGGTTTTGTTGAGTTACAAATTTTGTTGTTTCAAATTTTCATCAAATTGAAACCAACCTTCAGCTTCTGTTTGCACGTGCTCTTTATATAATACATAAAAGTTTGAGTAGCTTTTATGTGAAAATTACCATAAATTGAGACACAGGAATCATTGGATAATTTTTTTATTCCCAAGCTTTTTAGAACATTTTGCTTTGACCCCTCTAAAACAAGGAGAAGGAACTAAGGCCTAGGAGTTATTTTTTCACGTGATATCAACTACCTCAATGCAGGCCCCTGTAAAACCTAATATGATATTACGTTGAACGCCTTTGCAAAGTTGCAATTAAAATTTCAAAAGATACCTCGAGAAAATTCCGTGCTGCGAAAAGCTTGGAGTTTTTTGGTCCTCAGACAAACTTCCACGAAAAGAAAGAGAATGAGTGAACACCCAACCGTATTCAAGAAATTCGAGATCAAGTTAACAATTTAACACCATACACCATAACCCCCCCCCCCCCCCAAAAAAAAATGTTGACCAAGTTAACATCTTCAACGCCAGCGTTTGATTCAGATTAAATTTGTTAAGCGCTGCAAGTGAAATCAGCAGAAAATTGGAAAATTAGTCAAGAAATATTTGGAAAGAGGCTACTACTTTCTAATATTTAGTGTTGTCTTGACAGACTATTGAAATCGGAACATTCTGTGCCACTTGAACAGGAACCGGGTATTTTTTTCATATTTATCAAAATTTTAACTTACAAATCCACCCAGGACTTCAACGATGTCTGGCGTGAAAAAGAAGGGCGTGGTCTCCCGTGCAATCATCTAAACATAAACACCTGTTCTGAGACAAACAAGAGGCACAAATAAACCACTCTTTCTCGTAAGACAAATCAGACTGGATGTTTTTCTTGGATCTCTTCAACTATCACTGCTCTTTTTTTGCAAAAGGGATTTCGTTACTAGGTACAAAACTCACATATGTTTAACCGTTGAATTATTGCATTATAGGGGGTGGCAATTCGTTACTAGGTAGGGGGGAATAGTTATAGAGATCCTGTGGTCCAACAAGCCGAAAATCTAACAAGCCGAAAAAAATACCAGTCCGACGAGCCGAAAAATAATATAGGTATGCAACATAACAACAGATTGTCACTGTTGCATGCAATTGTGACGTAACTCTGATGTATTTTCGTCTTCAAGATATTGCGGTTTGTTGAACATCTGCTCATTATAATTACAGTTTCAATACAGATAAGCTAACCCAATGAAACTTCATGAAAAATGATTTGGCATTATTTTTTTTCAGCAGGGGAACCTAATTTTAAACCGCTATAAACTACCTGTATAGATCATACAAAGCAATAAAGTGGGCAAAAAGAACTTAATTTGTTTTCTTTCAGGACGGTTGAGAGCGGATGTTGATCTAGTCGTCTAACTGTTTAACAGCTTGTTGGTTTACTAAAATGACCTTGAACTTTTTGAAGTTTCCAAGCATGTGTCCGAAGTCTATGTGTAGAAAGGTTCCATCTCTCTCTATCATCATGTTGTCCGAATGCCGGTCTCCGATCCCCTACACAAATGCACAAAGGTCACTACTCCAATAACAAACGGCAATGAACAAACGGTAAATTAACCCTGATGGGTCGCTATTTGAAGCAAATATTCAAATTGTGTTAATTCTACTGCCGAATTACCACAGAGCCGAAACTGAAGTATTCAACAGCGCCAAAAATGAGGGATTTTCGAAAATTTTGAGTTCTGTTTGTGAATTGTTGTCAATTTGTTTGAAGACTGTTTTGTCGGTGAATTCCCATAGGTCCCAATATCATAGCACCCAAAATAAAAAACTCAGTCGCATAAGTCCCAAAATTTATCTTCTTGAATTCTGATTGGTTGAAATTTGAGCCAACGAGTTTATGAATTGATTGTTTACTGTTCAAGCAGCCTAAACTCAAGCTGCAGAATAGTGACCGCCGCAGCCGCGCTAACGTGTTGCGAGCTTGCCACCAAAGTGTAGGACTCTATACAAAATTTAGAGTCGGTTATCGCCGCAAAGCGGCGAAGCGCGGTACCCACCGGCGACTTTGAACCGAGACTCGGCTAATTTAGTCTTTTGACCAATTGAAAAGATTTGGGACTTATGCGACTGCTATTTTATTTTGGGGCCTGTGGCACTGATTTTTCATTTTGGGACTTATTGATACGCACGGTTTTGTCTTGGAGCGCATTCGAGAATAAAACTTGACAATTTGCTGAGTTAATTGGTGGAATCCCTCATACGGAACGGACCGAATGCGCGAAAACAAAAATCATCCAATCAGATTTCAGTAATCTAAAATTTGGAAAGAAAGTAAACATTTCCAGGGATTGAATATTGGCCGAATATAAAAACGGCAGAAATATGCAAAACTTTCAAATTGTCACTGACCTCCACCGAATTGGAACAAATTTTATATTTCAATTGTTTCGTTATGAAAGAAGCAAAATATTGCTTCATTTATTTCATTTTAATTGAAAGACAATTGATTCACTTTAAAATTGACTTTCGACTAATTTTGTTTTCGTGCTTTTGCCTACGATTTTTTCTTCCATTCGGCCCTTCGCGCATGAGAATAGCCTCCGGCACAATGTATTGATTGCTGACATAGAATATTGCTATTAATTGATTGCGAGAGAGCAATTTTTGGAGAAAAAAAATGTTGGCGTGGGAATAGGGAGTGAATTTGACCTGTTGCTGTTATTTGGATGCTGCTGCGTTTTTGTTTTGCTTTATGTTTGCTTTGCTCTGCGTGTTAGCTTTGATTTATGTTTGCCTTGTCTATTTTCATTAAGAATATTCATTTAATGGTCTGAGGCAAAGTCTGTTACCGCAAATTTTAGAGATGCAGTTTTTTTGAAACTGAATTAGTCAGACTGGACAGAAGAGAAAAAATGAGGATTATTTTATACACTGAATCAGTTGGTAAGAAAAAGGCGTTTCCTACGAAACCTTTTCTATAGCTTCGAAAATTATTTCATAGCTTGATTTGATTTGCTTAATGTGTGTATTAAGCAAAATGTTGCTGTTTTTAGTTGATTCGTTTCAGACTGAAATAAATTTGTATCCGCATAATTTTGGACAAAAAGTGGGCAGGTACTGTCTAGCCTTGAAGTTGAATCAAGTTCATCTAGCTCTGATTGATTCTTAAGCGTTGCACTTGATACCTGCTTAACCATTGCGCCTTATGTCAGCTAAAACATGGCATTAACTTTTCTGTCATTCATTTAATATATAGGATAACAGTCTGTTTTTTTTTACTTTTTTTTTGTCATAAAGGATTCTCTTTTGTAAAACATACTTAAATTGCACCTTTCTCATTGTAGCGCCCAGGCCCAACAATAAAAAAAATTATAGCCATACCGTAATAAAAAAATTGTAATAAGTGAGAGGGGTTGTATTCAAAAATCTCAAAGTTAATCGCGAAAACCTCAGTAAGAAAATAAATCCAGGCCATTAAAATTAATACTGACCGATTAGATAATGAGAAGATGAACTTTCAAGACTGATTAACTCTTATGATTTTATTAATCATAGCCAGACCGTAATAAAAAAAATGTATTAAGTGAGAGGGGGGCTAAAATAAATTTCTTGAACTAGCAATAGCATTCTTTGATTTTGTTGTTTTAGCCCCGGATTAATGTTCCTAAAACGGGTGGCGTCATTGATGCTTGAAGGTCAGAAAGCTTGAAATTAATTTTTTTCTTACTTTCAGCCAGTCAGAATTGAGTATTCAAAAATCTCAAAGTTAATCGCGAAAACCTCAGTAAGAAAATAAATCCAGGCCATTAAAATTAATACTGACCGATTAGATAATGAGAAGATGAACTTTCAAGACTGATAAACTCTTATGATTTTGAACTTATTAATCTTGATGATTATATGAATAGTAATGCGGCTGTAACCCGAAATTTGTAATATTTTTGATTATTTTCCACTGAAATAAAACATTTTCTGTTAATATTGACTTCGACTTTGTGAGAAAGGTATTTAGCCAATAGAAACGCTTAGCGATTTTGATTGGTTGAGGATTTCCAAGAAGGAAGGACTGAATGCGCAAAAAAAACTCGTGGGCAAAGGACCGAAAACAAGTTAGCCGAAAGTCAATTTTTAAAAAGAAGCAGTTGCCATTCAATTACAATGAAATAAATGAAGCAATATTTCGCTTCTTTCATAACGAAACACTTGAAATATAAAATTTGTTCCAATTCGGTGGAGGTCAGTGACAATTTGAAAGTTTTGCATATTTCTGCCGTTTTTATATTCGGCCAAAATTCAATCCCTGGAAATGTTTACTTTCTTTCCAAATTTTAGATTACTGAAATCTGATTGGCTGATTTTTGTTTTCGCGCATTCGGTCCTTTGCGTATGAGAGGGAGGGTTCTCATGCTTGAAGGAGCGAATGCTTGAAAAACTTCAACCAATCAAAATTGCTAAGCGTTTCTATTGGCTAAAGGCTTTTCTCACAAAATCGGAAACAGAAATCTGATTGGCTGATTTTTGTTTTCGCGCATTCGGTCCTTTGCGTATGAGAGGGAGGGTTCTCATGCTTGAAGGAGCGAATGCTTGAAAAACTTCAACCAATCAAAATTGTTAAGCGTTTCTATTGGCTAAAGGCTTTTCTCACAAAATCGAAATCAATATTAACAAAAAATGTTTTAAATCAGTGGAAAATAATCGAAAATATTACAAAATGCGGATTACAACCGCAATACTATTCAGATAATCATAAGTAATTTTCAGTCTTGAAAACTAATCTGCTTTTTATCTAATCGGTCAATATTAACACTAATGGCCTGGATTTATTTTCTTACTTTGAGATTTTCACGATTTGGTTCGAGATTTTGAACACTCAATTCTGATTGGCTGAAAGTAAGCTAAAATTAATTTCAAGCTTTTGGTCCTTCAAGCATGAGGGACGCCACCATTTTTGACTTTTCAACTTCCGTCGATTCGAACTTATGTACTTGTCAGTGATTTGGGAGCAGTAAAAACAGTATTCAAAATAACTTTCTGCACTGTTGAACAACATTTTCTGTTCGGCACAGTTGAAGAACATTTTCTTTTTCGGCACTGTTGTACTGCCCCTAAAAGCTAAATGATTGATTATTAATACATTTTTTTATTTTGCGCTTTCTAATTTACTACATTTGATTCGATTATGTGAGCTTCGGCGAGTTATTAATAACGTCCAATGAAGTACTAACAGCTCCTTGAGTTTAAAATACACAAAACAGTCCAAAAGGAAGGAAAAGCTGATCCCCATATTTTGCCCAACCGAAAAAAAACATCGATACTTCTTCACAGAATAGATTATTCCATGCCTAGGTTTTATTCCATGCCTATCTAACGATCTGAGGCAAAGTCTGTTACCGCAAATTTTAGAGATGCAGTTTTTTTCAAACTGATTAATTACTCAGACTGGACAGAAGAGAAAAAAGAAGGATTATTTCATACACTGAATCAGTTGGTAAGAAAAAAACGTTTCCGACGCAACCTTTTCCATAGCTTCGAAAATTATTTCATAGCTTGATTTGATTTTCTTAATGTGTGTATTAAGCAAAATGTTGCTGTTTATAGTTGATTCGTTTCAGACTGAAATAAATCTGTATCCGCATAATTTCGGACAAAAAGTGGGCAGGTACTGTCTAGCCTTGAAGTTGAATCAAGTTCATCTAGCTCTGATTGATTCTTAAGCGTTGCGCTTGATACATGCTTAACCATTGCGCCTTATGTCAGCTAAAACATGGCATCAACTTTTCTGTCATTCATTTAATATAAAGGATAACAGTCTCTTTTTTTGATTTTTTATTGTCATAAAGGATTCTTTTTTGTTAAACAAACTTAAATTGCCTCTTTCTCATTGTAGCGCCCCAACCTAACAATAAAAAATCATAGCCAGACCGTAATAAAAAAAATGTATTAAGTGAGAGGGGGGCTAAAATAAATTTCTTGAACTAGCAATAGCATTCTTTGATTTTGTTGTTTTAGCCCCGGATTAATGTTCCTAAAACGGGTGGCGTCATTAATGCTTGAAGGTCAGAAAGCTTGAAATTAATTTTTTTCTTACTTTCAGCCAGTCAGAATTGAGTATTCAAAAATCTCAAAGTTAATCGCGAAAGACTCAGTAAGAAAATAAATCCAGGCCATTAAAATTAATACTGACCGATTAGATAATGAGAAGATGAACTTTCAAGACTGATAAACTCTTATGATTTTGAACTTATTAATCTTGATGATTATATGAATAGTAATGCGGCTGTAACCCGAAATTTGTAATATTTTTGATTATTTTCCACTGAAATAAAACATTTTCTGTTAATATTGACTTCGACTTTGTGAGAAAGGTATTTAGCCAATAGAAACGCTTAGCGATTTCGATTGGTTGAAGTTTTCCAAGCATTCGGCCCTTAAGCATGAGAACCCTCCCCATCAAAAATGGCCATTTTAATTGATGTAGCTTGTTGAACAAAAAAACCATTCCCCAAGAGCGTCGTCTTAAACTTTTCTGAACAAATATTTAACTCGACGGCTATTCTCATACGCGAAGGACTGAATGCGGGAAAAAAAACTCGTGGGCAAAGGACCGAAAACAAGTTAGCCGAAAGTCAATTTTTAAAAAGAAGCAGTTGCCATTCAATTAAAATTAAATAAATGAAGCAATATTTCGCTTCTTTCATTACGAAACACTTGAAATACAAAATTGTTCCATTTCGGTGGCGGTCAGTGACAATTTGAAAGTTTTGCATATTTCTGTCGATTTTATATTCGGCCAATATTCAATCCCTGGAAATGTTTACTTTCTTTCCAAATTTTAGATTAATGAAATCTGATTGGCTGATTTTTGTTTTCGCGCATTCGGTCCTTTGCGTATGAGGGGATGGAATGCTTGTTGTTTTGATCTCTGCCGAAAAAAAAACCGTTTTTCACAGGAGTTATTTTGCAAGCTGCAACTCTATGAGGCTTGAATTTCTTAACGGATTTCTCAATCGTTTCCCGAAATTGTTCACAAGTTTCTTTTCCGGTTAGTCCCCCATCACTAGCATCATGTCCCACATGCTTAACAAGAGTTTCAACTTTTGTCCCATAAGTATACTTGTCAACAATACTATTAACGTCAATTAGAGTAGCCGATGAATATGAATATATATTGCAGTTAGTGGTCCAATATCCTGTTGATTAATTTTTCGGTTTGAGCGGAAAATAACCGAGGGACAAATTCGGGCTGAAATTCGTCATTGTATTGTTTAAACGTCTGATACTTGTTGTTTTTGTTCTAGTAAGTTGTCAATCATGTTTTCAGTTTGTTTTCGGATAGTTTCCTGTTTATATTGTAGGGTCTGTTGTTGTAGACGAGCTTCTTGTAATTGTACTTGCTTTTTCAAAATGGTATCTTCATGGTCTAGCTTCTGATTTTTTCTTCCGCTAGCAATTGCAATTTTTTAGCCTCTAGAAGCAGAACTGCATTGTTCATATTAGCTAAGCAAGCCATGGTTTTGTTGAGTTACAATTTTTGTTGTTTCAAATTTTCTTCAAATTGAAACCAACCTTCAGCTTCTGTTTGCACGTGCACTTTATATAATACATAAAAGTTTGAGTGGTTTTTATGTGAATATTACCATAATTCGAGACACAGGAATCATTGGATAATTTTTTTATTCCCAAGCTTTTTAGAAAATTGTTGCTTTGACCCCTCTAAAACAAGAAGGAACTAAGGCCTAGGAGTTATTTTTCACGTGATATCAACTACCTCAATGCAAGCGCCTGTAGAACCTAATATGATATTACGTTGAACGCCTTTGCAAAGTTGCGACTACACTTCAAAAGATACCTCGAGAAAAATCCCTGTGCTACGAAAAGCTTGGAGTTTTTTGTTCCTCAGACAAACTTCCACGAAAAGAAAGAGAATGAGTGAACACCCAACCGTATTCAAGAAACTCGAGATCAAGTTAACACCCTACACCAAAACCCTCCCCCCAGAAAAAAACAACTGACCAAGTTAACATCTTCAACCCCAGCGTTTGATTCAGATTAAAATTGTTCAGCGCTGCAAGTAAAATCAGCAGAAAATTGGAAAATGAGTCAAGAGATATTTGGAAGAGGCTACTTCTTTCTAATATTTAGTGTTGTCTTGACAGACAATTGAAATCAGAACATTCTGTGCTACTTGAACAGCAACCGGGTACTATTTCATATTTGTCGAAATTTCAACTTACAAATCCACCCAGGACTTCAACGATGTCTGGCGTGAAAAAAAAAGGCGTGGTCTCCCGTGCAATCATCTAAACATAAACACCTGTTCTGAGGCCTGTGGCACTGATTTTTCATTTTGGGACTTATTGATACGCACGGTTTTGTCTTGGAGCGCAACCGAGAAAAAAACTTGACAATTTGCTGAGTTAATTGGTGGAATCCCTCATACTGAACGGACCGAATGCGCGAAAACAGAAATCATCCAATCAGATTTCAGTAATCTTAAATTTGGAAAGAAAGTAAACATTTCCAGGGATTGAATATTTGCCGAATATAAGAACGGCAGAAATATGCAAAACTTTCAAATTGTCACTGACCTCCACCGAATTGGAACAAATTTTATAATTCAAAAAGTGTTTCGTTAGTGAAGAAGCAAAATATTGCTGCATTTATTTCATTTTAATTGAAAGACAATTGATTCACTTTAAAATTGACTTGCGACTAATTTTGTTTTCGTTTTTTGCCCACAATTTCTTCTTCCATTCGGCCTTTCGCGCATGAGAATAGCCTCCGGCACAATGTATTGATTGCTAACATAGAATTGGCGTGGGAATAGGGAGTGAATTTGACCTGTTGCTCTGTGATTTGGACGCTGCTGCGTTTTTGTTTTGCTTTATGTTTGCTTTGCTGCTGCGTGTTAGCTTTGATTTATGTTTGCCTTGTTTATTTTCATTAACAATATTAATTTAACGATCTGAGGCAAAGTCTGTTACCGCAAATTTTAGAGATGCAGTTTTTTTGAAACTGAATTAGTCAGACTGGACAGAAGAGAAAAAACGAGGATTATTTCATACACTGAATCAGTTGGTAAGAAGAAGACGTTTCCTACGAAACCTTTTCTGAAGCTTCGAAAATTATTTCATATCTTGATTTGATTTGCTTAATGTGTGTATTAAGCAAAATGTTGCTGTTTATAGTTGATTCGTTTCAGACTGAAATAAATCTGTATCCGCATAATTTCGGACAAAAAGTGGGCAGGTACTGTCTGGCCTTGAAGTTGAATCAAGTTCATCTAGCTCTGATTGATTCTTAAGCGTTGCGCTTGATACCTGCTTAACCATTGCGCTTTATGTCAGCTAAAACATGGCATTAACTTTTCTGTCATTCATTTAAAATATAGGAAAACAGTCTGTTTTTTTGATTTTTTTGTCATAAAGGATTCTCTTTGGTAAAACATACTTAAATTGCCTGTTTCTCATTGTAGCGCCCCAGCCTAACAATAAACAATTATAGCCATACTGTAAAAAAAATTGTATTAAGTGAGAGGGGGGCTATAATAAATTTCTTGAATCAGCAATAGCATTCTTTGATTTTGCTGTTTTAGCCCCGGATTAATGGTTCCTAAAACGGTTGGCGTCCCTCATGCTTGAAGGTCAAAAAGCTTGAAATTCATTTTTTTTTCTTACTTTCAGCCAATCAGAATTGAGTATTCAAAAATCTCAAAGTTAATCGCGAAAATCTCATAGTAAGAAAATAAATCCAGGCCATTAAAATTAATACAGACCGATTAGAAAATGAGCAGATGAACTTTGAAGACTGATAAAATCTTATGATTTTGAACACATTAATCTTGATGATTATATGAACCGTAATGCGGTTGTAACCCGAAATTTGTAATATTTTTGATTATTATCCACTAAAATAAAACATTTTCTGTTAATATTGACTTCGATTTTGTGAGAAAGGTATTTAGCCAATAGGAACGCTTAGCAATTTCGATTGGTTGAAGTATTCCAAGAATTCGGTCCTTCAAGCATGAGGACCCTCCCCATCAAAAATGGCCATTTTCATTGATATCGCTGGTTGAACAAAAAAAAAAACATTCCCCAAGCGCGTCGTCTTAAACTTTTCTGAACAAATAATGAACTCGAGGGCTATTCTCATGCGCGAAGAACCGAATGCGCGAAACAAAACTCGTGGGGAAAAGACCGAAAACAAGTTAGCCGAAAGTCAATTTTTAAAAAGAAGCAGTTGCCATTCAATTAAAATGAAATAATTGAAGCAATATTTTGCTTCTTTCATAACGAAACACTTGAAATAAAAAATTTGTTCCAATTCGGTGGCGGTCAGAGACAATTTGAAAGTTTTGCATATTTCTGCCGTTTTTACATTCGGCCAATATTCAATCCCTGGAAATGTTAATTTTCTTTCCAAATTTTAGATTACTGAAATCTGATTGCCTGATTTTTGTTTTCGCGCATTCGGTCCTTTGCGTATGAGGGGGAGGGTTCCCATGCTTGAAGGACCGAATGCTTGAAAAACTTCAACCAATCAAAATCGCTAGCGTTTCTATTGGCTAAATGCTTTTCTCACAAAATCGAAGTCAATATTAACAGAAAATGTTTGAAATCAGTGGAAAATAATCGAAAATATTACAAAATGCGGGTTACAACCGCAATACTATTCAAATAATCATAAGAAATTTTCAGTCTTGAAAACTGATCTGCTTTTTATCTAATCGGTCAATATTAACACTAATGGCCTGGATTTATTTTCTTATTTTGAGATTTTCACGATTTACTTCGAGATTTTGAACACTCAATTCTGATTGGCTGAAAGTAAGCTAAAATTAACTTCAAGCATTTGTTCCTTCAAGTATCAGGGACGCCACCATTTTTGACTTTTCAAAATAACAGTATTCAAAATAACTTTCTGCACTGTTGAACAACATTTTCTTTTCGGCACTGTTGAAGAAGATTTTCTTTTTCGGCACTGTTGTACTGCCCCCAAAAGCTAAATGATTGATTAATAATACAATTTTTAATTTTGCGCTTTCTAATTTAATACATTTGATTCGATTATGTGAGCGTCGGCGAGTTATTAATAACGTCCAATGAAGTACTACCAGCTCCTTGAGTTTAAAATACACAAAACAGTCCAAAAGGAAGGAAAAGCTGATCCCCATTTTTTTGCCCAACCGAAAAAAAACCTCGATACTTCTTCACATCATAGATTATTCCATGCCTAAGTCTCAAACAGAGGCTACTAAGCTTTACCAACAAATCGACTCTGATACTTTTGCTCTTCAATGATTAATGATAGCCTTCACTATGAATTACGAAAATGATGTTACACTGCCAGCGGGGCTCATAAAGGTATTCAGTCTATACTAGCTAAAACGTCATATTGAGGAGAGGTGGGAAGGGAAAAAAGTCTACCAGAATGAAGGTGGCAACGCAGCTGCCGAGGGCAGACCAGAAGAACCTGTCCAGCACTCTTGGCATCTTCTCCGGGGGGTTGTTCTCCTCCAGCCAGCGTTTGAGGGACTCTTTGTCCCACGACATCTTGCCCCTGTTCAATCGGCTGTTGTAGATATTCTGCGTCTAAAAAGGGCTTTAAATTAACAATATTGCTCGTATCAGGGCGAAGCCCTGAATGTTCCGACTGCCTTTTAATGTTTATGGAGCAGTAATAACATTAAAAATTTCAATGAAATAAAACAAAATGAAAGAAAAAAATTCTAAATTTGAAATTTTTTATGAAAAACATCCCCCCACACGCCATATAAAGTACAAAAGTATAGATTTTGCTCCTTGTAACAAATCAATTATGGCAAATAAGCTTCGTTCAACCAATTTGGAAAGATTTCTAAGACGGATTAAATCTCCGCTTACGCGTTTATAGCGCGAAATAAATCGCGCGTTAATTGTCCCAAATTGACAATCCATAAATTCCCATAACTTCACCAAAAATGATCATAGGTGAAATATATTTTCAAATTTAAGCTCAGGACAACTATTCATTTTGAATGATTTTTAAAAATTGCGTCAAAAATGGCTAGTTAAAAAGTCGAAATTTTTCTGAAGAAAAAAAAACCCACCCGAGCACAAATATTCCGTTACTTTCGTATCGAAAGTCGGATCAAAAACACAAACACACAAAGAGTTTCAGGCCAACAAAATGGAAACTAAAGACAGCATTAAGTCCGAGATAATGAGAACGCTGCGTTGATATGTATCTAACTTACGGTTATGGTTCTTAGCTTTTAAAAAATATACAAGACTGCTCGTATCAGGGCGAAGCCCTGAATGTTCCGACTGCTTTTTGAGGTTTATGGAGCAGTAATAACATTTAAAAATTAAATGAAGTAGAACAAAATGAAAAAAAAAAATTTTCTAAAATTTGAAATTTTTTATGAAAATCATCTCCCCACACGCCATATAAAGTACAAAAGGATAGATTTCGCTCCTTGGAACAAATCAATTATGGCAAATCAGCTTCTTTCAACCAATTTGGAACAATTTCTAAGACGGATTAACTCTCCGCTTACGCGTTAATAGCGCGAAATATATCGCGCGTTAATTGTCCCAAATTGGCCCAAAACGGCAATCTTTAAACCCCCGTAATTTTACGAAAAATGATCACAGGTAAAATATCTTTTCAAATTTAAGCTCAGGACAACAATACCTTTTGAATGATATAAAAAAGTCCGTCAAAAATGGCTAGTTAAAAAGTCGAAATTTGTCTGAAGAAAAAAAAACCCACCCCGAGCACAAATATTCCGTTACTTTCGTATCGAAAGTCGGAACAAAAACACAAACACACAAAGAGTTTCAGGCCAACAAAATGGAAACTAAAGACAGCATTAAGTCCGAGATAATGAGAACGCTGCGTTGATATGTATCTAACTTACGGTTATGGTTCTTAGCTTTTAAAAAATATACAAGACTGCTCGTATCAGGGCGAAGCCCTGAATGTTCCGACTGCTTTTTGAGGTTTATGGAGCAGTAATAACATTTAAAAATTAAATGAAGTAGAACAAAATGAAAAAAAAAAAATTTCTAAAATTTGAAATTTTTTATGAAAATCATCTCCCCACACGCCATATAAAGTACAAAAGGATAGATTTCGCTCCTTGGAACAAATCAATTATGGCAAATCAGTTTCTTTCAACCAATTTGGAACAATTTCTAAGACGGATTAACTCTCCGCTTACGCGTTAATAGCGCGAAATATATCGCGCGTTAATTGTCCCAAATTGGCCCAAAACGGCAATCTTTAAACCCCGTAATTTTACGAAAAATGATCACAGGTAAAATATCTTTTCAAATTTAAGCTCAGGACAACAATACCTTTTGAATGATATAAAAAAGTCCGTCAAAAATGGCTAGTTAAAAAGTCGAAATTTGTCTGAAGAAAAAAAAACCCACCCCGAGCACAAATATTCCGTTACTTTCGTATCGAAAGTCGGAACAAAAACACAAACACACAAAGAGTTTCAGGCCAACAAAATGGAAACTAAAGACAGCATTAAGTCCGAGATAATGAGAACGCTGCGTTGATATGTATCTAACTTACGGTTATGGTTCTTAGCTTTTAAAAAATATACAAGACTGCTCGTATCAGGGCGAAGCCCTGAATGTTCCGACTGCTTTTTGAGGTTTATGGAGCAGTAATAACATTTAAAAATTAAATGAAGTAGAACAAAATGAAAAAAAAAAAAAATTTCTAAAATTTGAAATTTTTTATGAAAATCATCTCCCCACACGCCATATAAAGTACAAAAGGATAGATTTCGCTCCTTGGAACAAATCAATTATGGCAAATCAGTTTCTTTCAACCAATTTGGAACAATTTCTAAGACGGATTAACTCTCCGCTTACGCGTTAATAGCGCGAAATATATCGCGCGTTAATTGTCCCAAATTGGCCCAAAACGGCAATCTTTAAACCCCCGTAATTTTACGAAAAATGATCACAGGTAAAATATCTTTTCAAATTTAAGCTCAGGACAACAATACCTTTTGAATGATATAAAAAAGTCCGTCAAAAATGGCTAGTTAAAAAGTCGCAGTTTGTCTGAAGAAAAAAAAACCCACCCCGAGCACAAATATTCCGTCACTTTCGTATCGAAAGTCGGAACAATAACACCATCTCCTTTGCGATCAGATAAAATCTTCAAAGCAAACGTCAATCAAAAACCAAAATAACAGGCAACTTTGAAAAAAAATTCGTGTAAATCAATTATTTTTATATTATTCGATATATAATTTTATGTAAGTGAATGGGGTGGTTTTTTAATCAACTGATCTTCTGAATGAAAGTTGTCGCGAGTATCGAACCTAGAAACTACGTTTTTAAAGCGGGTGCGTACGAAATATGCTTATTGCTCTTTGAGCCTACGTAAACTTGAGCCTCCTTCAATTTTCCAAGACTTTATCTATGATGCTGATAACGTGACACAAATTGAAATCTTGCACACAAAATTGTTCCAAATTGAAGTCAGCGAAACGAAATTGCATCAATATTTCCTAAAAAATAATCACATATTAACTCCAATATTTGATAGAATTATCAAAATAATTTATCAAAAAAATTACCAAAAAACAAGTGAACACAATTAAAGGAAGCAGGAACCATCAGGACTTGCCCTGAAATATGAGTATTCTTTTTTACCAATTAAAAGATTGTGGTGCCCTAAGCTCAAATTGAACAAAACTCGCCTTTGATCATTTTTTGTTATTGGTGTTAAAAATTGGGACAATTAACGCGCAATATTTTTGTACTTTTAACGCTAAAGCGGCGATTCAATCTGGCTCAAAAATCTTTCCAAAATGATTTGATGCAAGCAATTTAGACTCACTTATACGTTTCGGGGTTAATAAGTTCTCTTTGTACTTAACATAGCGTTTGGAAGGAACATTTTAATTGTTTTTGAAGAGTGGTTATCAAAGCTTGGAAAAGAACCTGGAGGCTGGATCTAAAAAAACGTAGCCGATCGTCCTACTGCTTTCCTTCTAACAAAAACTAGGCTTAGCAGAGGAGCTGTGGCTCCCTAATATCGCACAGAGGCGAAGTGGAGCTTCGCACAACCTGTGATACATCCCAAACATAAAAAGTCGAAAACAAATTTAAATAAAAATTGAAAAAATACTAGGCATTTCAAAATTACCTATGTCTCGATAGAAATTCATTCTAGACCTACATGCCAGCTATTTGAATATTACACTAGCAACGGAGCAAAAAATATGAAGAGAAAACAAAACTGACGATGAAAATTGCTTAAAACAAGAATAAACAGTGATTCAGCACTTAAGCCAAAAATCTATGAGCAGACACTAGTTGCACCATAAAAATTGTATGATAAAACTTTCAAAATACTTCAAACCCCCCCTGAACTATAATGAACAACACTTGCACTTGCAACTTCAATCAAAATTGCTCAAATTAGGGTCCGACAATTCATTTTTACCAAAACAAAGTTTTCAATTCCATACATACTGAAAAAAAACAAGGTCCGACCGGGGCTCGAAACACAGAGCTTAGGGTGCAAAGGCAACTGCATTACCACTGGGCCAGGTGGAAAAGAACCTGACAGATGTTAAGAGAAGAAAAGAAGTGAATAAAGAAGAGAGAAATTGTACGAAAAATTGTTTACGGGAAAAAGTCTAGAACCCGAAATTCTAGAAGTTTAAGAACCCGAAATTCACAAAAAAGCTACCAAAAAAGACATTAACCTCAGCCGCAGCGTTAGAATTGTCAGTAAATTTGAATACATGAAATTAATTGAAGGCGGGAAATTGCTAGGACCGGTACAATAGGACTGTTACAAAACACCACGAAGCTAAACACGTGTGCATTTGCACAGGGGCCTAGGAAATTAGACGATAAGCAAATTAGACGGATACAACAAAAACGAAATTAGACGGATTTTTTTTACAGATCTGGCATTTTAGACAAAAAAGCTATGAAAAAGAAAAGGCCAACAAAATTTTTTCTTAAGACTCAAGTTTCACAAATACAAAAAGAACATAGAATGTCAATACCTATCAAAACAATTAGTTTAAATGAACAAAAAATGTCAAATCCGAATATTACAAGAGAGTTTTGATTTAAATAAATTATGCGTGATTGACTTGTAAAATTTTTGGCTACCGAAATTTAACTGTTGTCTACAAACAATTATATTTTTCTCGCGCAATTTGTCTGCGAACAATTTTAATCTCTCTCACTTTCGTCTATTTTCTCACAATTGCAGTTTTGCAAAATCGTCTATATTCCTTTTAAGTACCTCCGTCTAATTTGCTTGTCGTCTAATTTCTCAAACCCCATTTGCACATATTGGAGCATAAGTACAGCAACGACTCTGAGGTCATCGTGCTATTATGCTTAAGATGTGCCGACCAAATTACGATACATCTAAGTCACGATTGCTGAATTGAAAGGAAAACTAGCCAGAATACGATATCTACCCAAAGCTAAATATTGAGCACAACTTGAGCACCAAAGCACAACTTGAGCACCTGGACGATTGAGTAGTTATTTGACAAATATCTTTTGATGAATTTTACTCTAAAACAAGATAAACTAATCAATAACATTATTGAACAATTCGAATCAAAACGGTTAAAAGAGTTTATTCGTTTGTGCAAACTCTCATTTAGAAACGAGTGCTTAAAATCTGGATCCAAATTGATGACAACTTGGACAGAACCTGTTTCTCAGCGAGCTAAAACTTTTTAAAAGATTTACTCTAGTACCCCAACGAAGGTGATAAATATGAACTTAGTTCTTTCATTAGAACGCCACTGCGTAGTCGGAAGCTTTAATTGATTAACTAAGCCCCTTTCTCGCACGAGAGGCTGGAAAGCAACACTTGAAGAGTGGACAAGTGACTAACTTTGCAGAGGGTCACTGCGTCTTGGACCACTTCTATGGCCCCTGTGTTCTGACTGGAGGCCACACATCCATACTTCCTCAGAATGATATGCTTCGTCATGGGGTGTTCCTTCCAAATCTAACAACACACAGCACGCTTAGAGACCCTTTTTTGTATGTCCAATAAAAAATTTGTATTGTTTTTGCATAACGCCATTTTATTTTTTATACTTCACGTACTATAGTAAGTATAATCCACTAAGTAAAATCAAGGAAAAACGAACACATCGACAGACCATGTTTCACTGACTAAATATTAAAATATTTCAACCCAAACCTCTTTCAAAAATAATTATGACTACCAAGCGTTTTCCTCCGTAACAGAAATCAAAGAAACTCACCCTTAGATGCATCAAAGATTAAATTTAAAATTGTGAACAAACTCTCTAGACCTAAAATTTTTCTTAGAAAAAAAAAACGGAAAAATTATATCCAGGGCTGATGACTCACATTCAGCATTAGCTGGAACATTTGCATGACGAGGACATCCTGTCTGAGGTCATCGCCTGCTTTGTAAATCATTTCACACACTTTCTCTTTCGCCTCTTCCTTCTTCTCCTCGCGAGATGAAAATCTCGCCTCTGATTGGCTTGAAACATCATTCGCCGGCAATCGCAGATCTTTCACACTCGAGCCTAGAGCCAAATTTATCATTTTTACACCCCCGGTCCTGTTCAATGCAGGACCAACTGTTGGGACGGGGGGATGTCATCCATTTCCAGTTCCTTCTTGAGGAGGCGGAAGACACTGGGACCTCCGCATAGTAGCAATAAGTAAAAGTCACACCAGATTGGAATTTTTGCATCATTAGGGGTTATGTATAATTAGCTGGCAGATGTGTGGGGGGGGGGGGCTATTCTGGGAAACTGCGTAATGAACCATAGAGCTACGAAAGCGTTCCCACAAAGACCTTAAAATGCGCCGTGGAACTAAATCTACAGGACAAAATCCCCCTAGGACCAAATGCCTTTAGGACAAAACCCCCTGGTTTTCAGTTTAAAACCCTAGACTCCTTAAAAAATCAGTTCTTCAATGGCGATTTTTGAAAGCACCAATACACATACGGATCGTCCGCAACTTCAAAACATGATGATATGCAATATGCCCAATTTCAATCAATTGTTTTGTTCAAAAAAGCAATCTAAAGTTCTGTCTGAGATATGCCTCTTATTTTTTAACTTGAGCCGTAGCGGGCAATATGCCAACAGAATATTGAGCAGCGACGAGGCCTCAAATGTATCTTTTATCGGCAGTTTTCTCTAACCACTTTTTACATAGCTTCATAAAACAATGCAGATTAATAGTAGGAACTTAAATTGTCTTTTGAGCTTTACAATTAGTTCAGAATATGGAAAGATCTTGTTGACTACCCCCCCTTGGTACCTAGTAACAAATTCTCACCCCTATTATGGATTATTTCAACAGTTAAGCATATGTGAATTTTGTGCTTGGTAACGAATCCCCCATTGTAAAAGAGGAAATAGGAAGTAAGATCCCAGAATAGTTTCACCTCTTTTCTCTGTTGTCCCATTTGTCGAGTCTGTGCTGCCTTCCCTCTGCAGTCCACTTGACCTTTGACCTCCTCCTTCACCTCTACCCTGCTCCACCCACACTACTGTGAAGCTGTCCTCTATGAAGCCCACGGGGTCAATCAGCACAGTCTTTTCAAAATCACTCACCTGTCAAAGAAGAAAGAAAAACAGTTCATCTAACATTTAGAATTAGATTGCAATTTATAGTAAACATCAAAAATTTCATTGAACTCAGGGAAACCAGAAAAAATAAAAATTCATCATTTTAAAGCTCTTCGGATTTCGAAAATCTATCTGTTTTCAAAATTCTTTTGCTAGCAGAAAGTATTCAAAAAATATACTAGACGCTGGTGGAAAGGAATCATTAAGTAATGAAAATCATTTTTCTGGGTAAGAAGTGATCAACAAAAGTAACATCTTATATTATCAACATTTTTGAAACAAATTTGATCATTAAATTAAATAGATAAAACCAATTAAATTAAATCTCCGCTCTTCCGTTAATAGCACGAAAAATCGCTCGTTAATTGTCCCGAATATGCAATCTTTAAAACCTAACTTTTCAAAACACGATCAGTTTAAATATTTTAAAAATCTAAAAAAAACGAGCAAAATTATTCCTTCACTTTCTTCAAAAGTACAAATATTCCGCCAATTTCTTAAAACTGCTAGTTGAAGTCGAAATGTGTCTGGAGAAAAACTTTTCCGGGCACAAATATTCGGTCGGTCATTTTCTTCAAAAATCGGAACAATGACTAGCCTGAAATCAAACAGGAACGCATAAATCCGATGCTTACGGCTGCTGTAAGAACGCAAAAAAATCACGTTGTCGCGAACAAAGCCCCTGAGCATAAATATTCCGTCCCTTTCTTCGAAAGCTCGAACAACAATGCTGATGACAAAAACTAATAGTTCCATGCTAGAAAACTGTAACACTAAAATATTGGATTACTAAAATACCGTAACAGAAGCAAACATTGGTTTTTATTTCAGCTGGAAACTTAGACCTCCCAAGAAGCAAAATTCTAACAAAAAAAATTTTAAAAAAGGTTTAATTTAAAAAACAGCGGTAATTTACGTTAGGTTTTATCTAAAAATTATCTTAAGAAAAATATGATTTTCTTTTAATAACAGCGGCAATTTCCGTTAGGTTTCATCTACATCAAAGCCCAAAAACAACCCTAAACTATTCAATTTCTGCGCAAAACTTCTATATCATTTTTATCGAAAGCTTTCACTCAATAATTACACAGAGGCGCAGCTGCGCTTCGCAAACACTTTCGAGATCACGAACAAAAAGCAGCTCTATCAAGATAAATAAGAAAAAGTAGAAATACTCCTCGAATAAGCAAAAACTCGGCTTTGTGTAGGATTCGAATCTGCGACCTACTGCAATCAAGAGATTTTGAGTCTCACGCACTATCCCCTCAGCCACTCAAGCTTAACAACCGATACACACTATTCACGAATGAAGCAGCCACTTATACTAACAAATTGCCAATGCGATTCAGCACCAAAAACAAATAACCTCAATTTTACAATTAATAATTTAGAATATAGCAAACAGAAGGCATCCACATTAACTTTGCGTGAAACAAATCTCAAAGCATAAAACCACATTATGTATAAATTATGCGTTTCAAAAAATTACGAGATATATTGAATAAAAAAAAATTTAAATCGAGTTTCTATCATTGTTCCGACTTTCGATACGAAAGGAACGGAATATTTGTGCTCGGGGTGAGTTTTTTTTCTTCAGACAAATTTCGACTTTTTAACTAGCCAATTTTGACGGAATTTTTTTCATCATTAAAAAAAATTGTTGTCCTATGCTTAAATATGAAAATATATTTTACCTGTGATCATTTTTTGTAAAGTTATGGGGGTTTTAAGATTGCCATTCTGGCCAATTTGAGACATTTAACGCGCGATAAATTTCGCTCTATTAACGCGTAAGCGAGATTTAATCCGTCTTAGAAATCGTTCCAATTTGGCTTAAAAAAGCTTATATGATTTGTTAATAGGAGCAAATCTATCAGTTTGTACTTGATATGGCGTGTGCGGGGATGTTTTCACATAAAAAAAAATATTTTTAATTTTTATTTTTTTTTACATTTAATTTTGTTTATGTTACTACTGCTCCATAAACCTTTAAAGCAGCCGGAACTATCAAGGCTTCGCCTTGATACGAGCAGTCATGTTGTTGTTTGAAACAAGTAGCTTTTTTCGATTCATTTGATGAATTTAAAATGCATCAACGGTGTTAACTTATTACTACAGTGCTGATTTAAATTAACCGGACAAAACGCGTTCAGCTTGAAACTTAAACGCGTTTTTCTCAAACTGGGTTGAGTTTAGGTGAAAACTTATGAAAACAAAACTTGCTTAAAATTTTAGAATTACTATGGTGTAATTTGTTTTGCAAACTTCGGGCCCAAAATTTTACCCCAAAATTTTTTGGCTTTTCTTAGTTAATCAAAATTACGCCAAAAATAACAAGTCGATCACAGAAATAATTATATCAAAGTGAGCCCCTTACGTAACCCAACAATTTTAAGAAGGGTATATTCTCCAAAACATTGTATAAATTAATTTATTTTTGTTTGAGAGACAAAAAAGGTTTTTACTATATAAAATACCCACTTTTGATTTAAAATTAATTTTTAAACGGTTTGCAATTTTTTTTGGAGAATACACCCTTCTTAAAGTTTGCTGGGCTACGTAAGGGGCTCACTTTAATATAATTATGTCTGTGATCGACTTGTTATTTTTGGCGTAATTTTTGATTAACTAAGAAAAGCCAAAATGAACCATTTTTGGGGTAAAATTTTGGGCCCGAATTTTGCCAAACCATATTAATTCTGCTAAAATTTTAAGCAAGTTTCGTCTTCATAAGTTTTCACCTAAACTCAACCCAATTTGAGAAAAACGCGTTTTAAATTTCAAGTTTAACGCGTTTTGTCCGGTTAATTTAAATCAGCACTGTATTCGAATGTCAAAGTACATGCTATCAAAAAGCTGTAAAGATGCCCCATCATTATTGGGGTGCCGCACCAATGTTTGCGACTTAGGTTGGAAAAAAGAAGGTTCGTACTAAAACACTAGCTTCGCAAGTGTTAAAACACTCGAACTTTCAAAACTATCAAATTAAATGGACGGCTTTTGACCGTTTAATTCTCACTTGTTCTTCGACTGATGATTGGGCAGAAAGGCTGTTTCGTTGCTCTCCTCTTGAAGCAGAGGCGGTCTGTTCGTTCATGCTTGTCTGAGAAGTAGGAATCGATCGCCATTCCTTCACACTGTCTCCTGTTAAAAAATAGCAATGCAGAACTTACCAAATTTTATATTAGTCAAATTGGAGCAGCGACAATTTTTTTTCTGAATGCGTTTTTCTTGTAACAATGACTGTATTCGGGTTAATGTATGTATTGCCTGTATCATCAGTTTGTTTTTGTCCATTTGTAATCAGCAAACTGAAAATATTCATCATAAAAATACGTACACAATGAAATAAAACCGCAAAATCCTTAAAAGATTATTTTAACCTAACAAATTTTCAACTTAACCAAATTGACAACATTCGACCAAATTTCGGCCGCTCTTTTTTTCTCGAGACTGGTAAAATTGGGTGGGGAAAATCAATAAGGGAGAATCATTTTGTGAGGTATAGTTTCACCTGATACCTCAATGGATCCCTAATGACGCCATTTTCTGCCTGGTCAGATTTTGCGTTTAAAAAATCAAATTGAGTGGTCCAACGAACAAAAACTCTCGACTCATGCCTGTGGTTGCGAATGTTCCGACTTGAGAGTGTTCGGAAGCGATGCTGCCGCTTGCGAGGATCCTTCCCGCAGTTCTCAGTCTGCCAATCTCACTGCGCATTAATCGTTCAGCACTCCACCTAATCGAAACATTGTTTCTAACAGAAGTTTTTTTAAATAAGGGTTTTGGAACTTAAGAGTTTTGGTGTGTTAAAAGCTCTTCCCCAATCAACAACCTTGTTAAAAATTCAAGATATTGTTGGCTGTCGATAAAAACAGGAGAAAAAGTCAAAATGCGAAAAAAAAACACGAAAAGCCAACTCCAACCAAGAAAATATAGCCGACAAACCGTTGGAAAAGAATCAATGAACGCAAGGAAACAAAAAATGTTCTCTTTATATTTCTTGAATAATTCATTCTCTACAAAAGCAAATGAACTAAACTTAAAATTAAATCAAAAATCAAACCGCAAAAAAAAACATAAATTTGTGAGTGAAACAATTTGTACACTTTTCCTGAAAAACAAAACAAAAATACCAGACCCCTTATAAGAACCCGAACTACGTTCATCGACTCTTAAACACCAATTTTATCTAAAACATGATGTCATGACTCTACGAGAAGGGTAAAAAAATAGGAAACTTAGTCATCAGAGAGTAAGAAGTGTAAGAAATGAGCTATAAGAAACCGAAAAAAAAATAATTGACTTACTTACCAACATTACCATTTTTCAGATATCGGAAAAAATATTACATTCCGATAACTTTTTTACTGGCTTTTTTTCCATTAAATTATCTCAATTTGAGAAAGTTGAGGTCTAAACCATAGGCTGTTGAGGTCAAACCATCTCAAGATCAGACAGATTAATTGAAGCGATTCAGTTAGCGGTCAAAAACTGAGTAAAGTAGTCAAAACTATTTAAACTCAGGCAAGGTCAAGTATTGATCACAAACTATTTAACTAGTCAGTAATGAAATAACTGGTGTTTTCGTGATGCTTAGTTTGTCATGTCATTTACATTCACTTTCTCAAATCTTTCTTCAACAATCACTACCTGTTCTCAATCCTCAGTTCGAACCTAAGTTTCTATCTCAGTCTCTAACCCCAGCTCTTAACCCTAGTTGCTCTAACTCTGAATCTTAACAGGTTATGGGTCGAGTTTTCTAATTTGTCTTGTATTTTTTTTCTGTCAGAGTTTAAAGCTTTTAGCTAACAGCCTTAAGCAACGATGGACTTGAAAGTGGCGGCTTTCACTGGAAAGTCAGAAGAATTTCCTGCTTGGTCGACGAAGTTTGTGGCGCTGGTCCACACCAAGGGCCTGTTCAGGGTAGTGATGGACAATGATGATCTGCTAGAGGCTGAGCCTACTCTCACCGAGAGTCCGAATGCTGATCAGCAGGCAGCCTACGATACCAAGATGCAGGAGCGAGCAGTGCTGATCCAGCAGAAGAAAGACAATCGAAACACTGTGTGGTCCCACCTGGCTCTGGTGCTCAACAACACACCATTTTGATGTACTGAAAAAACGACTACGTGGGAACAGATGGCTATGGCGATGGGACGGTGGTCAGTCTAGTAGGCCAGCTTGCGAAGCTGCGCCTAGGATCAGAGGAGGATCTGGACGACTAATTCGTTCGCAGTCAAGAGCTGATGATGCGGGCGGTTGAGCTAAGCTGGAGAAGCAATCAGGGACACACTGTTCAATGCTTTCGTGATCAATAGGCTGTCTGACAGCTATGCGCATTTTGCGGTGCAAGAGAGCTTCCAACCAGCCAAGACGTTTTCAGAGCTGAGAACGAAGTTGAGGAACTACGATGACTCAAGGAAGGCTCGATGTGGAAAGAGGACTTGACATGGTCACAAAGCCATTCTATCTGCGAGAAAGAAAAAAAAGACAAGTAGTGGCTGCTATGTGTGCGGTCAGAAGGGTCATATGGCGAGGGACTGCAAATCCAAAAGTGACGGTATAAAATCCAGTGCTCAAGGAATTGGTTCGAACAAAGCACGTGGATCAGGAGCAAAGTAGCAAGGGTGCTTCAAGAGTGGGCAACCTGGACATTATGCAAGCAAGTGCAAGCAGAGGAGGACAGGGTTCTTCAGTTGTGCTACAACTTCAAAGAAGGGAGACGACCTAATTGTGGATACGGGATGCACTGACCATGCGGTGCGCGACAAGGCTGTCTTTCTAGCTTTGAGAGCTGGAACGAAAGGACAACTGTGGATAACCCCAACGGCACGCTGTCTAGGATTGAGGGCAAAGGATCAGTGGAAGTGGAGATCAGGGACTGCCATGATGCTGCGAGGAGCTACACTTTTCACAATAAGCTGTTTGTGCTGAGCTACAATGTGAAATTGAAGATTGTGAGCTCAGCTAAGGCTAGAGGCTCAAGCTTCAATTTCGTCGAGATGCTTCATGTCTACTGGCGCCAGATGGGGGAGAGCTACCTGTGAAGCAGCGCGGCAAGCCTTTCTTCCTTGAGTGCAATTTCAGAAGAAACCCAATTATTCTAGTGACGAAAATAAGAAGAGATACGAGTGATGCAATGTTGTGGCACCTCAACCAGTATGATCTTTTATCGCTTGTCCATGTGGGCGAGCTAGAGTTCTGCGAAGTGTGTACAGCTTCCAAGATGCATGAAGTAATAGTGCCTAAGAAGACTGATATCAGAGCATCTGCAGTGGGGCAGCGGGTCTTCAGTGACATTCAGGGTCCATTTGAAACACCGAGTATGCATGGTGCACGCTATACCTTGATCTTCATCGACGACCTCAGTCGGCTGGCTGTGGTCAAGTACTTGGTGAAGAAGGGTAACGCTCTACTGAAGTTCCAGAAGTTTGTGGCTGAGCATGGAGCCCAGGAGTGCCTGCGAACTGACAATGGAGGTGAGTGTTCGTCAAATGCCTTTAGGAGATTTGATAGAGAATCCCAGGTTAGACATGAGTTCATTGTGCCCAATACTCACCAACAGAATAGTGAAGCAGAGCGGTACAACAGAGTGTCTGCTGGTTCAAAGCAAAACTACCAAAGGTTTTCTGGGTGCGAGCATTGTCGACAGCTGTGAGGGTTCGCAACTTGTGTCCCACATCCAGCAACGAGAGGCGCCTTTCACTGAAAGATATTCACTATGGGAAACCATCAAAATTGAGCTATTTGAGTATGTTCGGTTACCTTGCGTACTATCTGAATCGAGGCAACAGACGGAAACTGGATCCAAAGGACCAGAAAAGCAATTTAATCGGCTGCGACGAGGAGAGCAAAGCCTACTTGCTGATGGATCTAGATACAAGACGAGTGGTGCGAGCAAGAAGCGTGACATTCAATGAGAACATCATTCCAGATGACTTCATGGTGGTCAGTGAGCCATTACACACCCTGAAGCTATCAATCGAGGGATGCACTGATATTAAGGAAGCAAGCACGACAAAAACTAGCGAAGCACGAAGCGCGCCAACTGAGGGTGATACTGCAGATTCAGTGGGGGTTACTCAGGAGAATCTCGTCGAGGAGGAAGCATTAGATTCACATTCTACTGATCATCCAGTGCAGAAGTCCGTTAGGACAAAGAACCCACCCATTCGATACAGACTGGCCTATACCCATGTTTTAGTGACTGGAATCTAAGAGCCAAGGGCTATTCAGAAGTAGTGTCTGGACCTGAAAAGGAGCAGTGGCTGGCAACTATGGCTTAAGAGGTAAAGTCTATAGAAGCCAAGGGAACATGACACTTGTTGATAGACCACGATCTTGAAAAGTTATTCCTGGGCATGGCTTTTTGCTGTAAAGAGAGATTCTATGGGATAAGTGGAGCGGATCAAATCCCGATATGTGGTTAAAGCGTTCATGCAAGTGGAAGGACTTGACTTCAATGAGACGTTTGCTCCGACCTGTAAGCCCGAAACAAAGAGGATACTGCTGGCTCTGGGGGCACAAGATGATCTTGCATTTCATCAGATGAGTGTTAAGTCAGCCTTCCTGAACACTGCTCTAGCAGAGACAGTGTACATGGAGCAGCCAGAGGGGTTCAGCAGCGGTGAAAGCCAAAAGTGCTTGCATCAACGAAGTCTCTATGGGCTGCGGCAGGCAAGAAGAGACTGGTATCAGACGCTGAGCACACTCCTACTTGATGAAGGGTTCAATAGAAGCAGCAACAACTTCTGTATGTTCATGATGAGGGGAACAGAGGATACAATGATTTATGTGCTGGTTATGTGCTGGATGACACCATCATTGGGTGCAGATGTCAGGACGAAGTTGACAAGCTGAGGAGCCGTTTCTCCCAACGATTCAAGGTGGATGACAGACGCGCCTTGTCCTGGTTTCTGGCAATGCAGGTCAAGCAATCACCTCGGACGGTAACAGTGAATCAACCACGTTACATCGACGACTGCTTGGTGCGTTTTGGCCTAGCTGGATGCAAACCAGTGGGCACACCAGCGGACATTAGCGCACAACTGTCGAAGAAGGACTGTCATGCGGCTGGGTCAGCAGAGGCAGTGTCCATGAAGGCTAAAACTACAGGCATTGTGCGCTCATTATTGTACACAGCTAAGCAAACAAAGCCTGATATCTTAGCTACTGTGACGCAACTCCCTCATTTCCTGGAAAATCCGGGAAGGGTGTACTGGGTGGCTTCAAAGAGGCTTCTTCGTTACCTGAAGGGGAGCAAAGATCTGCAGCCGTGCTACATTAAGGACGCTAGTGATAACTCTATGGATCTGCAGATGCTAACTGGATTGGAGATTTGAATGATAGAAGGTCAACTACTGGCTGCAGCTTTCATTTGCAGATGGCAGGGGCAGCAACTAGTTAGAGCACCAAGAAGCAACCAACTGCAGCCAAACCTACCAGTAAGGCTGAGTACGAAGCAATGACAGCAGCAGTTCAAGATGCTCTATATCTGTGATCACTTCTCGATGAGATGGGCGTAGTTATCGACGGCCCAACCGTCATCAAGGAGCAGAATGAGAGCTGCATCAAGATGTTCAAGGATCCTGTGAGGCAGAAGCGAACGAAACACTTCGATGTGAAAAACCCCTTTGTTCGAGAACGAGTTGAAGATGAGACAGTTGAACTCCAATATTACCCTACTGATTTCATGGAAGCTGACTTGTTGAAAAAAAAGCCCTGAGCAAGGTTAAGGTGGAATTGCATCGTCGAGCCTCGAAGGGTTGCAGCCTGACATTGGACAAAGCCAATTCATCTCAAGTTCAAACGGATTCACTGAAAAGATTCAGCTGCGAGGTCAAAAATGATTCAAATAGTCAAAATTGATTTAACTCAGACAAGGTCAACAAGTGTTCACAAACTAACATATTAGTCAGTAATTAATTAACTGAAACTTTTGTAATGCTTAGTTTGTCATGTCATTTATTTTCATTTTCTCAATTCATTCTTTAACAATCAATACCTCTTCTCAATTCACAGTTCGAACCTCAGATTCTACCTCAGTCTCTAACCACAGCTCTTGATCCTAGTTGCTCTAACTAAGAATCTTAACATAGGCCAACCTTAACATTTAAATACATCTTCTAAGCTAGATGCCAGTTAATTATCTTTGCGCCAAAAGCAACTGAAGAGATAAATTTGCCTAACATTTTGTGGTGAAAAGCTCTTAAGACTATTGACTATTAAGACTGAAGTAGACAACAGACAGTTACATAAGTGTCAATGAACAAAAAAATGCGCCAACAAAAGCTTATTTTCGAACAATTTCCAAGTTTCGTATATCGGAAGACATATCACAAAAAAGCTCAAGAGTTGAAACCTTAAGGATTGACTTTTTTCCACAAAATTACCCTAATTTGAGAAAAGTGGATGTCCAAACCAAGTAGAAAATCGAAAAAATATGTATATAAATCCACTTTCGAAACAGGAAGCCATTCAAGTTATTCGCGTCGTTTGCTATTTCGTAATTGAAGTGCGTAATTTGCTTTCATTTCGGCAGTGAATAAGGTGAATTTATCAAACAAGCAATCAGATGAAATCACGTTTTCACAAAAAAACAAACGCCGTTCTTTGCGTTCCTGCAACTGGAACGAGCAAATTGTCCTTAAATCGTATTTCAAGAAATGACTATCAATGATTCAGTGACTATGTTGGACAAGCTGCTAGCCTAAAAATTACCATGTTCCGATCTGATAAAGCTTGCTAATAGCAAGCGTAACAAAAAAATGAATCAAAAGAACAAACTGAAGTGACGAAGGAGATAAATATGAATTAGTAAAAAAACTCAGAATCTGCGGATTATTAATAGAATTATTATTTACAGACAAAGAAAAGAAACTACTGTTATTTAAGCTGAAAACATTCAAGTTTAAGTATTTTTTTGTTTTGAATTTTGATATTTCTGCCTAGAAACGAGTATCTGTATCAGGCGCAGTCGAAATATTGCAAGGCGATGCAAACCTCTTTGTACAAGATCGAGGAGATTTGTTTAACCAAAAGACCAAATCGAAAAACCAAAAAAGGATTGGTGGTGCTCACATCCAAGGTTAGTCGATTCACGTAAGTTATCGATTTTACCGGATTATTGTGATGATTTTTTGACATTTATAATGATTATAGTTACTTAAATTAGGAGTTTAAATTTTAACCGATTATAATCTCTGATTTTGCCAAATTTTTGTCAAATCAAAACAACATTTGAATTATATCTTATGAGTTATCACTTTTCTGTCAAAAAAAATCTTTAAAAGCGAGATCTCTTGTCACACTGTTTCATCTGAACACAAAGTTTTACCACGAAACAAATTATTCCATAGAATAAAATTTCCCCAAGTAATCATGAAACTAAAACAGTTTGCTGATATGTTGGTGGTTAAAAAAGCTTAAGATGTGCATCATGATACTACTCTAATGACGAAGAAAAAAAGTTATAAATTTGAAAACTTTAAAAACAGTTTTCTCATTTTTCAAAGAAACCAATTTCTACAACAAGCATAACATATAGGCAACTCAGATGCAAGTTCGCAGACAAAATGGGCAAACACAAAGAATTATAATTGATTATAATGGATTTTTGTGCAAAACATATGAATTAGAAATTGGGATTAAAATATTGAATTATAATCTATTATAATTAGATCGAAAAATAGATGAATAAATAATCGATTATAATCGATTAAAATGTGTTATAATTGACTATAAATTGACTTCAAAAAGAGAGATTATAATCAATTATTAATAAATTAAAATCAATTTTTTCTCAATTTTAGTAACACTGGTACTAAAATCGTAATATAATCAATTATTAACGCTTAAAACTGGATGCGGATGGGGATATCTTTTTCACTTTCAGCACTGGGTGATCTAGAAGTGACTGTTAGATGATAGAAAAGTTGTTTTGGTTGAAAAAATGTTTCAGAGTTCTTGTTTCAGTTTGGAGTGGACCTACTCTCGTAAATTTTCTTAAAAATTCCAGAATAGTTCCTTTTTTATCTAAAAACAAATTAGTTGTTTTGAAATCAGTTTTTTGAGGGTGCCGAAAATTTATAAATGCGCATTTTTCTCCTTTTCAACAACTTTTCCGAAGAAAAATAGCACGTCGCGTGGTTTAGATCTTGAAAAATGGCCAAAATGTCTATTCGATTCGAGGGTAAAAAATACGTCATAGGTGTACAAAAAAACAAGACCTTAGAAAAATGTTATCACGCAAAGCTACGCTGAAATTTTGCTACAGTTTAAAACAATACTCGGATTACAAGATAAGAATTGTCTTTCGAAAATAAAGACAAATTTTGACTGAATGCCCGATTGGATTTCAAAATTTTTCCAGATTCCGGATAATTGTATTATTTAAAAAACTGGAACGCATATCAAAGACTTGCATACTATCCATATAGCGAACCTGATTTCATAAATTTGCGAGCTCCCACCGACCAACGAGTTGAACACCTTCAGAAATTCGCAAGGGCTCCGAGTAAGCCTCGCAAACCCCGACAAGCTAAACTTAGCCAAATCAGGAGACTGCGAATCGTCACTCGGTGGCAACGACGGTTCTGTTTCGTCAGGTTCGTCCATAATGCTAGAAAAACTCGCAATACTGTCGCGACACGAACTAGATCCGAGCGAGTTGTTGCGCTCGGGAAACGACAGGAAAGTCGTCAAAGTTGCTCGCGGGTCATTTTCTTCAAACTCGGCTTCATTTTTACCTATGCATAAAAATCAGATGAAACTTGATACAAAATGAAATTGACAAAATAAATTTCTTTATAAAACGATAAAAACCATTCTATGAAAATTATTTCAATTTGAGGAAAATATTTAGAAAATTGTTGGACTTATTTTGGAATGTTTTTAATCAAACAACATTCCAAAGTGTTTTCACCATTCGCTGCTAATAACAAAGATCAAATTGAAAAAATAACTTGAAAAAACTGAACGCTACTGGGGAAAACTGAATGAGTAAAACTTTTAGTTTACATAACTGCTAAGTGACGCATTAGCAGTCAATTTGAAAAAAAATTATCAACTAACATGCCTCAATTTGCAGAGCGGACACATTTTAATTTGTTTCGCTAAAAATGAGCCATTTGAGAAAACTGAATGAAAAAGAAAAACTTCCATCCCACTAAGAAAATCTATTATTTAAGTTCCAATTTTCAAACTAGAAGACGCTCATGTTTTGTTAAGTGTTGATCAACAAACATGTTTCAGACTCTGATTGAGTTCTTGCAGTTTTTTTTGGAAACTTTGTTCATAACTTCTTCGGATTATATATGTTATTTCATGTATTAAGTTGAATTTGATTTTCAAATCAAGTTCATGGGCTGAAAGAAAGGCAAATATCGCTCTCTACTTAAGACAAAGAAATGCCGCGAAAAAACATGAACGTCTTCTAGTTTGAAAAGTGGAATTTATTTATTAGAGATTTTTCAGTGGGATGAAAGTTTTTCTTTTTCATCCAGTTTTCTCAAAATGGGTCATTTTCAGCAAAAAAAATGTCATAACACATTCTTAAAAATGAAAGCGATTTAATGTGACGTATTGCTTCTTTGAAATTGGAAAATTGAAAAAAAAACAAAGACTTTGCCGACTGTCTGATGGCTATCAACTCAAAAAATCAAACTTAAAGTATAAGAAAAAAAATCAGACCATCGAATTTGGTTTCATTACTTACTACTTATACTAATTTGATCAGCTGAAGAGAATTCGGAGAAGGTGAAAAAAGTATCTGCATTCGATATTGATTCGAACTTGTCAGTTTCGGATAGAAGGTTGTTCTCTGGAGAAATTTCTGCATATTCATCTGTTGTGAAGTTTCCAATAATCTTTGGATACTCGGTACAATCGTTATCATCAAGGGAGCAATTGGTCTGGGGGTTTTCTATAAAAACAACAATTTTGAGCTCATGTTTTTTGAACTCATGTTTTTTTTTATAAAAAACGTTTTGAACAACAAGAAAAATGCGCAGAGTTCATCTCGATTAAATTTTAAAAAAATATGCAATTGAGTTCAATATCAAACCTTTTTCTGAACGATTGTTACAATAAAGAACGTATAGAAGCATGTACTGGCACCAAAATTAAACTCAATTAATCAAGTTGTTTTAATTCTAGTTTTGATTTTTTCAGAGCCAGGGAAATGCGCACAACTCTCAGACTGTCTACCCTGGTTCGAGTAAAGCTGATACTCTCAGCTTGTTAGTGACGTATATTGTATTTAATTGAAAACGGCACTAACTTTTGGAGCCATCGTCTGCCTTTTTGCGCCGATGAAACGTCAGCCAAAGTGGCAGCTGGAAATAATATAAATGTTAGAAACAAAGAGAAAACTTCACCAAATCATTGCTGAGGCAAATTATCCACACGGTCAAAAAAAAATAATTAAACAATTTTTTGACTAGAAATTAACTTTCTATCATTCAAAATGGAAAAAAAAAGAGAAATTTTCAATTTATTTTTTGATATTTTGTTTTGGGGAGGGGGAAGGAGTGATAGGCAGGGCGAGGGTTTTTGTTTCAGCGTCATGAGATAGAGTTTACGCAGACTATTCGGATTATTATACCGACAGGAGGTGCGTTCAAAGCATTGGTATGACAAGTTTATAAATTTAGGATAAGGCTCCAGTCAATGCTTTTTAGGACTGCTTTTTCTAAGACTGCATTTTAAAGATAAAATGAAAACTTTTCAAAAAATGTTCTAAAAAATTCAACAAAGGGGCAAAGCTGAGCTTCGCACCTTTTTTGATACAAAAAGCCAACGGCAATAAAAAATATATCGGAGAAAACTGCATGTACCAACCACGCTGGATCCACTAGTGCCTTACATGCAGTGTATTCGAGATTATATTTAAAATTCAGAAAATATACACACAGAGCTTAAGTCGACATCATAGCATTTACCAGTAGTTACTACCATTGGTGGCCAGTAGTTAAATCCGAATTTTCAGGAAATTGAACACAAAAACAGCCATTTGAACTACATTAGAAGCCAGTAGTTAAATTTGAATTTTCAGGAAGTTGAGCGTTTCAGCAACACAGAGGCAGTCATTCAAGTGATTTGTTTAAAAACATGTTGACCCGAAAAAGTCCAAGTCCGATTTGAAAACGCTCTACTTGACAAATGTGCAGAACAAGCCGCTTTAGTTGGTTTATAGTATATGAAGCTGTTAAATGATTTGTGGACAAGCTGTTAACATAATAAAATCTCGTTCCTTTTCAGTGACGCTTTTTAATCGCAAATGTAATAATGCAATAAGACTATGTACTTCGCGTACGTGCTTGCTGAATTGCGTAAAGTATCCCTCTAAAGTGGCCTATGAAAATCGAAAAAGTGAGAAATATATTTGAAATTATAAACAGAGGCGAAGCGGACCTTCGCATCACTTGCGGCACAACACAAACATAAAAAAATATATCAGTAAAAAGAATTTAGATTTTGAAAAAAAACCGCATGAACCAAAATGTTGGTATGTTTCGATAAACAAACATCTAGGTGCCCAGCTAAAGCAGAAAGTACGAGTTTGAAATTGAATGAACTTGTCATGCCGATGCGGAACAAAAACTGTGATTTCAAAAGCTGTACTTGCCAGAAACTTTAGTTGTTTCTCTACTGAGAGCAGTGGAAAAGTTGAAAACTTAGATATAATCAATTTTCCCAAGAAGATAACATAAGATTACTAAAAATAAAGGAATCGCCGCTTCTGAAGGAACATTTATCGCAAGCGGTTCATTGAATTGAATTTTTTCTCTCAATTTTGTTTGTATAAATTTTCAGAGAACTCATAAGAATTCTATACAACAGTCAGAAGTTCTAAAGACGGTCAAAAGAAGCTAAAAAAAATCACAACAATTATGCAAAAAGCAGGTTGTGGCCGCTTAAACATATAAATATCCCAAAACTGGGTTTTTCAATTGAACAAGAATTGTCACGGTTGTTTTGGCGTCCCGGTAGAATTGTCCTGGCAAAATTTGCTAACTAAGTTGGATTTTAAATAGAACTTGAATTACAACACAAGCGCTGAAAAGTCAGAATCACCGAATCTGCAAGATCACAAATGACACACATAGCCCTCGTAATGAAATAGTCGTCATAAAAACATTTGAGATATAAAGCGGCCATGAAGCAGCAAATAAGGTTTGGTGCTGTTGGGAAAAAAAAAGAAAAATCAAAAAAAGTTAGAAAGAACATTTTGAATTTTTTGAGGCTTGTTCTGAGCTTTCAAACAATTTTTGGCAGAAGAAAATCGAATTAAAGAAAAAAATACCGGTAATCAATAGAAAAAACCAGGGGTAACTAAAAGTAAAATAATTCTGTCGGTGAGAAAACCGACAGAAATAGGCCAGACACCCAGTAGGCTAAAAACAACCAAAAATATTTAATAATAAAAATTCTTCAGCGCATAAACGTACATATAGACAGTTTTCGCACCAAAGAGGACAACCGACAGGCAAAGTATACCTTTCTTTGGTTACCCTTTCTCAGGCAGGTAGCAAATGATCACATACTTCAAAAGCACGTGTATGGCGATAGACAAAGTACTAAATTTTTGTGTTCGTCATCACAAACAATAGCTCAATCAGAAAATTAAGTTTTATATTTGATTATCAAACGCTATGATATTGTTCAAAGGGATTAAGTGCGACTTTTTCACGTGGTTATATAACATTGCTCCTCTAACTTTCAATGATTTCTGGGCGAACTTCTGACTGACTTTAAATATAACAGGTTCTGATCACTTGATCTGCTTTTACAGTTATTCGCATTTTCAACAAAATTTTTTGAAAAGTACTCTGAATTCAAACAAGCTTTTGATTTCATTGTAAACTTAAGTAGATCATATACAGACAACTTTAGACAATTAAAAGATGATCGCTAGATTCTAAATTGCTTTTAAAATTAATGAATCTTAAAAAAAATTTGCAGTAGCTTGATTTTGTTCAAATCAGTTTTATTTGCGCAACCATAAACCAAAACTCCAAACTGAATTTTAGGTTTAAAATAGGAGTCATAATGAGTTTTTGAAAGTTCTTAATTTGTGAGGCTTGTTCTGAGCTTTGAAACAACTTTTGGCAGACTCATATCGAATTAAAGAGAAAAACACCGGTAATCAATAGAAAAAATCAGGGGTAACTAAAAGGTAAGTAATTCTGTCGGTGAGAAAACCGACAAAAACAGGCCAGACACCCAGCAGGCTAAGAATCAACCAAAAATAGTTAATTTTAATAATAATAAAAATAAACCTCTTCAGTTCATAAACGTAAGTATAGACAGTTTAGAACAAGAAAATTATCCAACTCCGGACAAAATAAGTTTATTAGCGCTTAACCAGTATTAGTTTTGGGTCAAGATCGATCTGCAGAGAATTTTCATTTGAGTTAGATATCAGAGCGGTATCATCTCCGTTGTGAACAGTTTTGAAATACTTGCACATTTGATGCCTGTCGTTAACATAAATAAAAAAAAGTATTGGACCAAGAATTGAGTCTTGAAGTACCCCACATTTCACCGGTAAATATCTGAGCTGAACTGGTCCGGTGTTACCAACTGGAATCGGTCTGTTAAGTATTTTTTTACGAGACTTAATGCCGGACCGCATACTCCATACGCGTCGAGTTTCTCAAGGAATATCGTCTAATTAACAGTATCAAAAGCTTTTTCAAGTCAAGTGAAACTACGATTTGAAATCATTTTTTTGTGCAATTCATTTCTTTTGTTGATGGTAATTTTTAATTTATTCGATACCCATGAATTTTCATGACAGAATAATTTTTGTTTTTTTTTGAGCGGAGCCGTTTTTTTTAATGTTAGGATCACATGATGAGTCGAAGATTCGACAGAGTCCACTTTGCATATAGTGAGTTCGGGTTGTAGAACATCATTAAAATTATCTATTAAAGTTTCGGATTTTAAAAAACTTAGAATTCGCGTCATTTTTTCAGATCGTTTTGTACTGAATAGCTTATTCAGTTCAATAAAAAAAGTTGAAAATTTAGATATAATCAATTTTCCCAAGAAGATAACATAAGATTACTAAAAATAAAGGAATCGCCGCTTCTGAAGGAACATTTATGGCAAGCGGTTCATTGAATTGAATTTTTCCTCTCAATTTTGTTTGTGTAAATTTTCAGAGAACTCATAAGAATTCTATACAACAGTCAGAAGTTCTAAAGACGGTCAAAAGAAGCTTAAAAAACTCACAACAATTCTGCAAAAAGCAGGTTGTGGCCGCTTAAACATATAAAAATCCTAAAACTGGGTTTTTCAATTGAACAACAATTGTCACGGTTGTTTTGGCGTCCCGGTAGAATTGTCCTGCCAAAATTTGCGACCTAAGTTGGATTTTAAATAGAACTCGAATTACAACACAAGCGCTGAAAAGTCAGAATCAACGAATCTGCAAAATCACAAATGACACACATAGCCCTCGTAATGAAATAGTCGTCATAAAAACATTTGAGATATAAAGCGGCCCTGAAGCAGCAAATAAGGTTTGGTGCTGTTGGGAAAAAAAGAAATCAAAAAAAGTTAGAAAGAACATTTTGAATTTTGTGAGTCTTGTTCTGAGCTTTCAAACAATTTTTGGCAGAAGCAAATCGACTTATAGAAAAAAATACCGGTAATCAATAGAAAAAACCAGGGGTAACTAAAAGTAAAATAATTCTGTCGGTGAGAAAACCGACAGAAATAGGCCAGACACCCAGTAGGCTAAAAACAACCAAAAATATTTAATAAAAAAAAATCATAATAAAAATTCTTCAGTGCATAAACGTACATATAGGCAGTTTTCGCACCAAAGAGGACAACCGACAGGCAAAGTATACCTTTCTTTGGTTACCCTTTCTCAGGCAGGTAGCAAATGATCACATACTTCAAAAGTACGTGTATGGCGATAGACAAAGTACTAAATTTTTGTGTTCGTCATCACAAACAATAGCTCAATCAGAAAAATAAGTTTTCTATTTGATTATCAAACGTTATGATATTGTTCAAAGGGATTAAGTGCGACTTTTTCACGTGCTTATATAACATTGCTCCTCTAACTTTCAATGATTTCTGGGCGAACTTCTGACTGACTTTAAATATAACAGGTTCTGATCACTTGATCTGCTTTTACAGTTATTCGCATTTTCAACAAAATGTTTTGAAAAGTACTCTGAATTCAAACAAGCTTTTGATTTCATTGTCAACTTAAGTAGATCATATACATACAACTTAAGACAATTAAAAGATGATCGCTAGATTCTAAATTGCTTTTAAAATTAATGAATCTTAAAAAAAATTTGCAGTAGCTTGATTTTGCTCAAATCAGTTTTATTTGCGCAACCATAAACCAAAACTCCAAACTGAATTTTAGGTTTAAAATAGGAGTAATAATGAGTTTTTGAAAGTTCTTAATTTGTGAGGCTTGTTCTGAGCTTTGAAACAACTTTTGGCAGACGCATATCGAATTAAAGAGAAAAACACCAGTAATCAATAGAAAAAACCAGGGGTAACTAAAAGGTAATTAATTCTGTCGGTGAGAAAACCGACAAAAACAGGCCAGACACCCAGCAGGCTAAGAATCAACCAAAAATAGTTTATCTTAATAATAATAAAAATAAACCTCTTCAGTGCATAAACGTAAGTATAGACAGTTTAGAACAAGAAAATTATCCAACTCCGGACAAAGTAAGTTTACTAGCGCTTAACCAGTATTAGTTTTGGGTCAAGATCGATCTGCAGAGAATTTTCATTTGAGTTAGATATCAGAGCGGTATCATCTCCGTTGTGAACAGTTTTGAAATACTTGCACATTTGATGCCTGTCGTTAACATAAATAAGAAAAAGTATTGGACCAAGAATTGAGTCTTGAGGTACCCCACATTTCACCGGTAAATATCTGAGCTGAACTGGTCCGGTGTTACCAACTGGAATCGGTCTGTTAAGTAGTTTTTTACGAGACTTAATGCCGGACCGCATACTCCATACGCGTCGAGTTTCTCAAGTAATATCGTCTAATTAACAGTATCAAAAGCTTTTTCAAGTCAAGTGAAACTACGATTTGAAACCATTTTTTTGTGCAATTCATTTCTTTTGTTGATGGTATTTTTTAATTTATTCGATACCCATGAATTTTCATGACAGAATAATTTTAGTTTTTTGAGCGGAGCCGTTTTTTTTTAATGTTAGGATCAAATGATGAGTCGAAGATTCGACAGAGTCCACTTTGCATATAGTGAGTTCGGGTTGTAGAACATCATTAAAATTATCTATTAAAGTTTCGGATTTTAAAAAACTTAGACTTCGCGTCATTTTTTCAGATCATTTTCTACTGAATAGATTATTCAGTTCAATAAAAAAAACAGAGTGGTCGCATATTGTATTTTCAATAACCCCGGCATAACGAACTTTATTTTTGTCGAGGATTGTAAGTATAGGGTCAATACACGAGGAAGTTGAAGCAGTCACGCGCGTAGCTTTGTTTATAACTTGACGGAGGCTAATTGAGTTTATAGTAAATCGATACATGTACTGCATGTTGCCCTCTTTAAAGACGTCAATATTAAAATCTCCTAGAATGATTAAATTTTTACTTGTTGAGTTTTCGGGAAAATTATCCAACTCCGGACAACAATCTGTAAGCTTCGACTCTGGAGGTCTATATACGCACCCAAGAGTTTAAGAATTTTTTAATGCAGCAATGCTAAAACAAATTAGCTCAAAATTTAGAGCTCCAACTGAATTTTTGATACAAGTTTTATGTCATTTCTTAAGTATATAGCAACACCTCCACCTCTTTGTGTACGATTTGTTGTTACAAGAGTTGTATAATTATTATTCAAATTGCATTGGATCATGCTGTTCATCGTTGAGCTAAGTTTCAGAGAGACAAATAGCTATAGGATTAAAAGATAGAGAACTTAAACAAGGAACCAATTCACCATAATTGCGATTAAGAGAACGTATGTTTAAATGTATCACTGCACATTTGTCATCCCTTGCCTTCATCATTGGCTCAAGTGTCATCATCTGGCTCCTTGGGTTGAAACCCCTAGTCGATTTCAGTCCCATCACTCGAAGCAGAATTTGGCGATTGATTATTACACTTCAGCCCGAGTTGCTAATGCCCCCCACTGCTTTAGATAAAGCTGGCAAGAGAGCCGTAACAATACCACCAACAATATCTACATGGTTCGTTTCAAACACAGGAGATAAAGTTAGTTTTCGTTTCTTGTTGCAATGATCTTTACACGAATCTGGCTTCCGAATAACCGGCGGCGGACGCGATAATAACGAAGTTTGCTGCACTGTGTCGTTGGATATGCAAACAACATCTGCATCTGAGTTGCATTCCCCATTCTTTCGGATGAAACTTGATAGTTCGTTTTCAGAAGTAACTCGTACAGCATTGAAGTTCGGTAAATTTTGATTAAAAGTGTACACGTCTTGCTTATGAGTGTGGGACATAACTCCCATTCTCTTGGCTTTTTCTTTGATACCTCGATCCCTAGGTGTCAGGCATTCTTCGATGCTGAGTGGCTATCCATTTTGGTTAACAATACCCATCAGCCACGTTCGTCGATACCAGATTACGTCCCTGTCGGCATGATAGATAAATTTCACTATTAAAGTCACGTTGTGATGTGGTCCAAGTGGGTGACAGGCCGCGAAATTCGATGGTTTGAGGTTGATGTTCAAGAACGTGCTGAGAACGGATAGCGCAGTTTGTATGGGGTCACCTTGCCAACTGAGGTTGTTGAATATGAGGCACAATTTGCGCGAGTACATTTCGACTTCGACAACCCGGCAGCTAACATAGTATAAGTCATTACTATTTTGGATGATACGTTCTTCCATTAAAACTTGGCGTTCGTGCAGCTCCTTTATTTGTTTTCGTTGATTTGTTCAATTACTCGCCATTCCTTGTATTGCCCTTCTCATTGATTGGGAAATGCTCATCTCATCATTAGATTCAGTATCCATCATATGCATTCAATCAATGAAGCTATCTAATAAGTTTATCACAACAATTAGGCTTGCAACAATTTAGAACGAACATGCTGAAGTGACACAAAAATTTACAAAAATCTGTGAACAAATTTATTTACAACAAAACGTCTAGTACCCGGTTGCAATACCTTTCTTATCGCAAGGGCAATCATATCTTAGCGCGCAAAAAAAGTTTCGACTATGTACATATTAAGCTCAAATGTCAAAAATGTCTTTTCCTCACCACCTATTCCTCCACTTGAAATTAAATTTCGAAAAATTATTTTACATTGTCATGATGCAATAAAATTTTGCATGGCGAACAAACTAACAATTGTGAACAAAATTGATATCCGAGCTTTACACCGTAACATCACACACTTAGCCGTTACAACACGTAAAACGACTAAGAAAATGAAAAACTTGAATTGTGAGTGGAAGTGGAAAAGAGCCCAAAAAATACACGTTTTTTTTCAAAACCGTGCGATCCATTTTTGCATGCTTCTTAGCTTCGCAACTTTTATTACTCTTTTTTAAAATTCTCTTAACTTGTGTCAGAACAAAATGCCATGAAATAACAACGGGTCGTTAACTACGACATTTTCATGTCTTGAATTTTAGAGAGATGACTGAAGATGAAGCTCTGAACACAGCACAAACTTACCTTTTTAGAGTTCATAATTTTGCATTTTGCTTTGTCAATTGAAACTACATTGTCACGCGGATTGTACAAATTGCATACGGGCACTACAAATTTTTCCTTTTTGCTGACTTCATTCGAAGTTGAGCTGTCATTGAAGCAGTTCCAGGAATCGACCGATACGTAGAAGCAACTTCTAGCCGACTCATACGGCACTGGGGATCCCTCGAAAGCGGATATGTTTCGCATGAGCGAGTAGTGGGCCGCTTGAGGCGAATATTTGTGGTAGGCTAATTGAACACTTTTGGCCCATTTTGACATCTCTCGGTCGGTCAAAAGAGCTTTCAAAAATTGATGCTGAAACAAATTCAAACAATCTTTTAAATAGTGTTTCAAACACCTTTGTTTTGTTCTTACCAACCCTGCCGGTTGAAATTAAGCATGAACAAATTTTAAGAGTTTTCGAGAAAAAAAAAGACAAAGAAGACCTATGTAGAAGTCTTCGCTAAGTTCATCGACAATTAAAAACAATTCCTGACATGGAAAAGCACGAGAGATTTAAAATTATCTAGACTTATTGAATAACAAAAGATATGTCGATAAAAACTTACACATATTCGTGGTTTGCAGTTTTGTAAGAACGTCTGCAACAGCAGAACGTACAAGCCCCGATAGTGAGTATGTTCACACTCGACCAGAAGAATCCAGCAGAGCTGGTAGCCCAACTGGGAGTGGGAGAGGGCGCGTGTGAACAGAAAATGAACTACTTCATTGTCCACTGAAGTCTCAAATTTGAGCGCCTAAAATATCACATTTGTTGGAGGAAACCCTGGTGCCTGAAAAATAAAGTAGTCTATCAGAGTTCGCTCAGAAGCGAAGCGGAATTCTCGCCCCTTGCGACACAATAGAAAGATAGCAGGCAAAAATGCCAACTGAAAGACAAAAAATAAGACAAAAATCACGAAGTCAAAAACAAATGCTTTAAAAAACTATAACAAAAATTTTCTACGCTGTCTTCATTTGTTTTGAATCAATTTTTTTTGAGCAAAAATTAGCAAAGCATGCAAAAATGCAATTTCCGGTATAATATTAGCAAAAAAATCTTAAAAACAGAAAAAGGTAGATATTACACAGAATTGAGTTAATAATATTACAAACAGCATTAAAAACACCATTAAGACCGAACAGAACGAATATTTGAAATGCAAGCAGACTCTAAATATGTCATTTCAATGTTAAAAAAAAAGAAGACAAAAGATTCAGTGATTCTGCTAGATTCTATGTTGCGATTTCATTACAATTCCTACCCGCATGTGTACAAATTGAAAATTTTGAAAAAACAAGCATGACAACTCGCAAGTTTAGAATGGTCCGTATGCAACTGACAGATTGTGATTATGTACCAGGAGAGAGCTTGCATTCAATTGAAAATTTAAATAAAGATTGCAAGAAAAAGAAACAATCAATCAACATGCTTTCAAAAATTCCGGATACAAAATTTGAAACTCCGACACACAGATTCGGATCTACTGTTCTGACAATTGCGCCATATGCTGTTACTATCCGCCAAACACCAGCCAAAAAAGCAGACAAAACACTTGCAGATTAAACACATGAGCAGTACAGAGCTGATTTAAATTATACAGGCAAAATAAATAACACTTGAAATTTAAAACGCTTTTTTCTCAAATTGGGTTGAGATTAGGCAAAACATGAAGAGAAACAAAGTTACTTAAAACTTTACCAGAATTATTATGGTGCTTTTTTCTTTGCAATTTCCGGGTCCACAATTTTATCCCAAAACCGGGTCATTTTTGGTTTCTTTTAGTCAATCAAAAATACGCTAAATCTAATGGGCTAATTGCTAGGCAAATTATATCAAAGATAGCTTCTTATTCAGTCCAACACTGAATAAGACCTCCAGTGTGACCTCCAAAAATCTTCATAAATGAATAAATTTTGGTTTTATAGTCAAAAAATGTCAATTTTACTACATTAAACTTAAAATCTTTGTTTAAAAACAATTTCTGGACCATAAAATAAATTGCACCATAAAAGTTTTGGTAAAATTTTACGCCTTGTTTTGTATTCTCGACTTATTGTGTAATCTCAAAACCCAATTTGAAAAACAACGCAGTTTAATTTTTGTTCATTTTGGCCGGATAATTTAATGCTGCACATGATTAGTAAACTTGAGCACTTATGTTGAGCACTAATTTATGCGAGTTAAGTTGGAGGAAACAGTTCTTCCAGGAAAAAATTTGACACCAGGGAAGCGCCAATTGAAGCTTCAAATGCATTTTTTTCTTCTAAAACTTTTTCTGCGGTTTTTATTCAAGGTTTCGCGCCCCTCGCAGGTTTTGCTCGCTCTAACTTAGAGCAATCCAGGCCTGTGAGTTGTGCAAAAAGCTAATAGTTCAAATATATAAAAAAAAAACTTTTCCAACAGTGAATAACGAAAAATTATAGCTGCAGTCGAGTACCCCGATTGCAAAACCCTTGCTTATCGCAAGGGTTATAACAATACATTCTCCAAGGTTAGTAATAATACAGGAATCAAACATTTGCTAACCTGAACTAAAGCAGTCATAAGCGGACGCAACATTTTGTTGTCGATTCTTTTCAGATTTCGAATAGCAAACTTCCTCACAGCTTCGCTGGTGTACTTGTAGGTCAACAGTTTCAAGCACAGCCAAATTGGGACACTCTTGATTTCTTTAGCCGACACGTCATCATTATTCAGAATATCCAACTCCGTTTCTAATTGGTCCACTTCCCTTTTATTGGACCAATCAAATTCCTTGAAAAAGTCGTGTAGGTCGCTACTGGCAGTTTTTTGTAAATCTGGCAGTATTTTATCTTCGGCACTCTCATCACTACGAGGAAATCTTCAAAAGAGACCATTTATTGACAAAAAGAAGAGCAAACATACAAACTATTCGGCTTATTGCGTCTTACCGTTGCTTTTAAGACTTAATGATTTGTAAATTCAGTATTTTTTGAAAAATATGAGCTATTTGTTACCCTGGATGGCCAAGCCTTTAGAAAAAAGTTGAAAACCAAACAAAACCATCAAAAAATTTTTGGGGAAGGGACAAGCTTTCTAGGTTCAAATATTTCACTGACCTTGAATATTTAATAGCAAGGCTAGTCCCTAACTCCAATTTTCCAAAGGAGTCACAGCGCAAACTGGACACGACTAACAATGCAGTGTCATCATTTGATAGACCACATCCCATTGGCTGATAGATTGAGCCAATTGGAGAGCAAAGTATGTTGATATCCATCTCACTGCTTGGAAAAGACCAGAAGTTGAGATCGCTCCTACTAAGAATGAAGGATCCACTAAAAACACATACATTGAGAAAGGGTAAGAGATTCATTTCTATCGCGTTACTTACAGATAGTTACTTTTTTCCAAATTAAGCTATTGTTTTGAAAAATCTTTATGACCATTTCTTATTTAACTGCCTTACTCACGGTAAAATTTAGACAAATCTCAAAAAGTTGTTGAGATTGTCCGAGTTATAAGATACAGACGCGAAGCTGGGCACGGGGCAACAGAGACAAAATGAAAGCTGTGAAAAAATACATTTTTTTTTTTCAAATTGTTTTCGTTTTCAAATTGTGTTGTTATTCGCGCTGTGATGATTTGATCTAAATTGAAGATGTAAATGAGTTTAGACATATTCGAAAGTAGTAATAAAACAGAATTGAAGCGGAGCTTCGCACCATTTGCGATACAAAAATGAATGACTATGATTTTAAGCAAATGAAAAAACAAATCAAAAATTGAAAATAAACCTTCAAAACATCGCTTTTTTTATCAAAAAAAAAATACTAAAATTGCTAAAAGGACAAACGATTTCTGTAAAAAAAATTACCTGCACCATAAGAAACTTTACAAAGAGCTTTCAAAATGCTTAAAAAACAAACCGAACCTTTCTGCGAAATTTAAGCCGACAAAATTAGCAGACAAAGACTAAATTATTCGAAAATTTTCAGTTTCCAGAAAGAAACAGGTCCCGACTGGAATGGAACTTCTAGCATTTTTCGTCTCAAGCCTGGGTGGTACCACTGCACAGAACACTCATTGAATTTACAAAAAAAAACAACTTCCAAAAACTTTAATGAACAGAATAAAAAAAATAGCAAAAAACTATGCAAAACTTCTTGAAACTCAGTTTTTTTGTCTAAAACCGGAATACACTGAGATGTTTTTTAAGCTGAGTAAAATGCTCAAATTTTAGGCAAACTTAGTGCTGCGGCAACTAAGCCGCCGACAAAAAAGCAGACAAACTGAAGTCCGACGAAGATTTTTTGACGCATGGACAATTTCCCGCTACAAAAAACCAGGTACTGGCAAGATTCAAACCACTGACCTTTGTAATTATAGTCAAGTGCATTAACTCTCGACAAATGCATGAATTAACGTCTGACTTTTGATTTGATATAAACCGAAAGTAAAACGATTCAAGTGATTCTGTTAAACACCAGTTCGATAACGTTTGCTAATGGCAAGCGTAAAAAGCATAAAAAATCGAAGAAATGAAAAAGGTTGAAAAAGAAACTTGAACCAAACTTTTCGTAAGTCTCGATAAAATACAACTAGGGACCCAGCTAAAGTTGGAGTTACGGATTTGATTTTTTGAATTTGTTATACTGATGCGGACCAAAAGCGTAATTTCAAAAATTGGACTCTGCTCAAAATCTTAGTTGTTTCGACTAAAACACAAAAGATGAGTGAAAATTTTTGAGATAATAGAATTTTACCAAGGATATTACATTTCGTTTTTAAAAAATGAATGAGTCACCGCTTCTGCACGAAAAATCTTGGAACCCATTCTTTCGATTGAACGTTTCATCTCAGATTTGATATGTTAGTTTTGAGAAAAATCAAAAAAGTTTTGAAAAACGGTCAAAAGTTCAAAACTTGACTTTCCGAAATCCATAACTTTTTCTGCATAAAGCATAGTCCTGGTATCTAAGGTAGAAAACATTCCCAATGCTGGGTTTCTCGATTGAACACTTAACCTTACAATTTTGCACGGTAGTCATCGAGAAGTCAAAAAGTTTCCAAAAAAACGGAAGCTTCAAAACTTTGACTTGTTGAAGACCATTTTTTTGTTGCAAAAGAAATTTTAGCGTAGTCAATGATAAAGGAAGGGTTTCAACAACCTGTGATTTCGATTAAGCATGATATCAGATTGGGCAGGCTAGTTATCGAGAAAAGTCTAAAAATTGGTCAACAAATCAAAAACTTGACATTTCCGAGACCCATAGCTTTTTGTGGAAGAAAATTGGGCGTAAACGCTCATTCAGAAGAATTTCAATCATTCAGAAGATTGAACCCAAAAAATCAGATTTGGGAGGGGAGTTCTCGAGAAAAGTCAAAAAGTTTCTTACAAAGGTCAAAAAATCAAAGTTTTCATAGTTTTCTGACAACCCATTTTTCGGATTGAACCAAAACCCAGATATTGGAGAGTAGTTTTCGAGAAAATTCAAAAAAATTTGAAATCGGTCAAAAATCAAAAAATTGACTTTCTGAGGGGTCAACTTATGTGTAAAAAAAACTTATGAGCGGCATATAATGCAGGTGAGCTTCCCACTGCCCCTTTTTTCTATTGAAGCCACAACCTAAAATTTGGAGGCCAGTTTTCGAGAAAAACTGTCAAAATCAAAAACATGACTAATCCGAGAGTCAAAACTTTGTGTAAAAAACATTTCGAACAGCCGCTTATGCGGAGGGGCCTTTCAAAAACTGTTTTATTCATTGAAAGCAAATTCTCAGATTTGACAGGTTAGTTTTTGAAAAAACGAAAAAAAAAAACAAATTTGGGTCAAATATTTCCCCACAGATTTTTTCGAAGGCTGTACACAGAGAGGTAAAGTAAAAATAGACTAGATGAGCATGCAGGCCCACGGAGGCGTAGGCGGTCTTTCCACTGATAGCAATTGTTTGAAAATTAAAGAATAATTGAACAGAAAAACTTTTTAAAATTTTGCAAAAGATCAAAAAAATCCAAAGCGTCTCAAACAAAAATCAATTTAAGAAAACCATACATTTTCAGGAAATATGCTTTTCTCAAACTAAAATTCTAGGCAAACATGCCAAGCAAGACATTTCAATCTTAAATTATCAACTGAAAAAGTAACGAAGCGGAAACAAAGCTGACAGTCTTTGAGCAGACACCAGTTGAACCTAAAAACAATGATTTTATATATTTTTTTAATGTTTCATACCCTTGCTGAATCTACAATGAATAACACTTGAAACTATTATGATAGTTGCTTTCAACAAAAACACAAAAAATCCGTGATGTGGCAACTAAGACAAAACTTTGAAAAAGGTCAAAAAATAAAAATTTGACTTTTCTGAGGGAACTTTTGTGTAAAAAACTTATGAGTGGCAGATATTGCAGGTGAGCTTCACACTGCCCCTTTTTCCTATTGAACCCACAACCTTAAATTTGGGGGTCAGTTTTCGAGAAAAACTGTCAAAAAATCAAAAACATGACTAACCCGAGGGCTATAACTTTGTGTAATTAACATTGGGCTTAGCCGCTTCATGCAGAGGGGCCTTTAACAATCTTACTATTCATTTAAATCAAAATCTCAGATTTGACAGGCTAGTTTTTGAGAAAACGAAAAAACAAATTTGGGTCGAATATCCGCCAACAGATTTTTTCGAAGGCTGTACACAGAGAGGTACAGTAAAAAGAGACTAGATGAGCATGCAGGCACACGGAAGCGTAGGCGTTTTTTCCATTGATAGCAATTAATTAAAAATTAAAGAATAATTTAACAGAAAAACTTTTTAAAATTTTGCAAAAGTTAAAAAAAAACTCCAAAGCGTCTCAAAGAAATAAATTTAAAAAAACCATACATTTTCAAGAAACCAGCTTTTCTCAAACTAAAATTCTAGGCAATTTCTTTTGAAATGAACACTTTCATGAACACTTTGAAATGAACACTTTTGAAATGTTCATTTCTTTTGAAATGAACACTTTCAAAATGAACACATTTTGTCGCAGCAGTTACATCGCAACAATATTTGCGACTTAGGTTGGAAAAAAAAGAAAGCTCATACTATAATACAAGCTATGCTTGTGTGATAATAAATCAAACTGAAAAACTAAGAAAAAGTTGTTTACGGTAAAAAAAAGTCTAGTTACCCATTACAAGACAACTAGTTACAAATGTATTTAGGTATATTCGACAACAGAAGAAAACTTTTTTCATTTAAGAAAATCCTGAAGAAAGCGCTGAAAAACTGCGAAAATTAAACTACTTGAGTAAAATTAAAAATTCACTCTAAAATTGAATTATAAAAATCAAACTATATACAAGGTGTTTTCAAAACGCATTTTTTATTAATCTTTTTTTGTGAACAAAACATAGTGCTGACTCATGATAACAACATGATAAAACGAGCAAAAATTAAACTTCAAACTCGTTTCTTTAAAATCGGATTAATTCTAGACAAAAAAGGATGAGGACAAAAATAGCTTGAAAATTCACCAGAATTGTGTGGGGCATCATTGCCAACTTAATATTTAACTTGTTGCCAGTTGTGATGATGATGGAAAAAATTCATACTTGGAGTCGAACAATGGAATGATGAGATATGATTCGACCAGCGAGTCCATTTTCATCTGCTCTTCCCCACCGTAGAACGCATTCCAGTCTACCACTGAGGAGAACAGTGTCGAGTTCTCGTTGTAGTCGAAGAAGAACTTCCTCGCTAGTGCCTTGTACATGCACGCCCGCAACACTCGCGGAATGTAATTGAAAGATATGCAGAGTCGTGTTTGCTACCAAAAAAAAAACATTTTGAATGCTTTTTTGTTATAACGTCCAAATTTGAGGTATGATTTCCTGAAGTTTAAGGAATTTGATGAATCAATTCAAAAGAGTCGGAAGTGATAATTAAAACCAAATATAAATTGAAACATTTGGCTGTGTAGTAAAACACAGCCAATTTATTTCGCGCTTCTGTGACATCAACCCAAAAATCAGTATAACTCCACTTCACTTCATTTTGGCACCTTTTTCATATTTTTTTTTGATGAAAATACGAAATATAATTTGCTTAAAAACAATTTATGAGGAGCAGGTTTAGCAAAATTATTTCAAATGTACAAGAATTTCGGAAACGTGAGTGAATCACAAATTACTTTGGGAAGCGCACTGAGAGAAACATTGAATGTGCATTCCCAGTGGACTCCAGACCCCCCCGTCAACTTGTTCACATCCCATTGGGGACTCCTCACGATTGCCGACAGGTTCCAGGGGTATCCATTCTCAGCCAGAGGAACCGAAGATGAGCGGGAGTCGTGTCCGAAGAAGAGAGCTGCTTCCAGATAGCAACTTCTGACGTCATAATTCGTAGTGGCGTCACCACGAACAACTCGTCTGATTCCGCTCAATGAGAATCTTGAGAGAACATGGAGAGGAAGAAAGAAATAGCAACGGATGAAAGAGCGACAAAAAGAAAAAGAGAAACAAAGATAGCCGGTTGCTGTGCAAGTTGATAGCCGACCATATTCTTTAAAAAAAGTTTTTCATTCAAATAAGTGTGGTTTTTTTGTGCGTGGTGTGATAAAAGGATCTGAAAAAATGCACAGAACAAAAAAAATTGGGCAACAGTTTTTGTCGACAAGCGACTGGAAAAAAAACATAAAACAAATTAAATTAAAAAAAAACTTTTCAAGATGGTGCTAAAGTTAATTTCACTGGAGAAAAAACTGAATGCGAGGGCTCAAATAAAATTTCCCGGTTTAGATTTTCAAAATAAGCCAGCTCGCTCGCTTTCCTCGCTCATAATTGAAAATTGAACTAAATTTCAAATAACGACTGAAAGGGCTTTAATATGATATATCACTCGACCCATTCCAATTATTATTTGTGGTATACAGAAAGAGAAAACGAAAACGCCCGAATATTAAGTTTCTCCACATTATCAATATTCAAAACAACATCGAAAGACAAACGAAAGAAGAATCAAACAAATTTCTCTAAAACAGTGTAATAGTCAGAGGACTTCACGAATAACTAGCGTGTAACGCAAAACCGGTGCTTCGAATTTGTAACAACTCATAAGACAGGACATATATTGGAAAAAAAATGTGCAACCTTTGAGTGTACTCTGACAGAACCCAATTAAAGGGTTGGTAATTTCAATTTTTTTTATTCAAAGTTTGAAAAACCGTAACATTTTGTGAAGTTTTTTTATATTTAAGTTCTTTGAAAAATTTTTAAATGACAGAAAACGTCAAATCTCGGAAAATTAAAGCCATTAAGCAGTCGAATTTGAACGCAATATTTGCAATTCCTGACAGTGCTCTCAGAGTACCCAACTACAGCGTTGAGAACTTCAAATTTTGACAAACTTCAAAATCAACCTTCCTAAAAAATCCTTGTTGAAAAAACTATAAAAAACATCATATCTCAGAAACTACAAAAAGTTGAGCAGCCATTTTTGTAGGAAAGATTCCCTGAGATCACAGCCCCCAATCACAAGGTTAAAAATTTCAAACTTAAAAAAATTCAAATTTGAATTTTCTGAAAAGTTTTTGAAAAAATCACAAAAAACGTTATATCTCGAGAACTACAAAGATTTGAGCGGTCACATTTGGAAATAAAAGTCACAACTTCCAGGAGTACCATGTCGGAGCCCCCAATTACAAGGCTGGGAATTTCAAAATTTGAAAACGAAATTCAAATTTAATTTTTTTCTGAAATTTTTCTAAAAAAAATCACAGAAACATCATATCTCGAAAACTAAAAGGTTTTGAACAGTAATATTTGGAGACAAAATTGCAAGTACTGGAAGTAACCTGTCAGGGCCTCACAAAAGGAATGTGAATTCAAATTTTCCGGAATTTTTTATATCTTATTTCTTTGAACAATTAACAAAAAAGAGTAAGGCAAGAGTTGCGCCCCCTGAAAGTAACCTGATAACGTCCAACAACAGGGTTGACATTTTCAACGTTTTTAATTATTTTTTAATTAAAGTTTTCTGAAAAATTTTGAAAAAAATCAAAAACTCGTCGTATCTCGTAAGCTAAAAGGATTTGGCATTTGTTCAAAAATGGAGGCCAAATTCGCAACCTCCATTTGACAGGAAACTGGGAAAACTCTGACAAGATCCACTATTCGCTTGCTAATTTCAAAAGGGATAAAATAATACTTGACATGAAACTAGAAAATTTAAAATAAATTCTCTACAATCTGCTATCTACGATATAGTTTAAACGTGACAAATTCTTTCGTTAAACCTGCAAAAATAATACGTTGAAAAAGCTTAAGCATGGCGACGCAGTAAAGCCCGCATTTAAATATATAATAGATTATCTAAAGCACTGACAAGATCAGCCGTTTTCTGTTCTGACCACAGTTATCATCGCAAAAAATAGATAGAATTAAATTGAATAAATTGACGGAAGATTATTCCTGAGATTATAAAACCATTTAAAGCAAGCCAAGGATATCCAGTTGCTGTGCAAATAGCAGAGTGATTCAACATAAAAATTAAAATTATCAAGAAAGAAATCAAATTCAGAAATAATTTAACTCAGAAGTTTATCTTATTTTTCTAAATTTAGAGATAATTTTTCCTCAAGTAAAAGGAAACTAAATTATGTGACAAACTGCAAAAACAAGAAAAAAATAATTTCTTAATCAATGTTTTTTTTTCAAATCTGAATCACGATCAAAAGAGCTTCCAAATGATACACATTTGACCTCCTACAAGATTTCTTTGAGGTAGTCAAAATCGGGAAGGAAAAACACATTCTAAGCCATGGCGCTAAGCGCTTTTATTATTCATCATATGCAACTTCAAACAGAGTCGTATAAATTATCTGCTCAAATTTCAGACATCTCACTCTTGACTGTAAGAAATATGAGTTTTTTATCCGATAAGCATGCAAGTTCTTCAAAAGTATAAAACGGTAAACATAAACCATTCAAAGACCAAAAGTAACAAACGCACGAAAATACCCAGAAAGAAGCTATAATTTGCATGCACACGCAAAAACGGCAAAACTAAACTGTAAATACAGCAAGAAAAAACTTCAGAAAAAACGCCATCAGTGGATCAAAACTTCACAAAAAGGATTTTGAAGAATTCAAATTCAAATCAACCGTTTTTTGGTTCCTAACTTAGACGTTTTTCATGCATATTTTACGCATAGATATCCAGTAGCAAAATATGTACATCGATTAAAAAAATTTATAAAGCTAAGCCCTATGCTGGGCGGTTAACAAGCACACTCTGAATTAGAAACTGTTCAACAAGCCACCAAAAAGCATCTTTGAAAAATCTTAACTCAAATAGCGAACTGTTGGCAGTTTTGCGCTATAACGCCTGTTGGACGCAATGGATAAAAACTAATCATACGGGCAACAAAATTTATAGCTCAGAAAGAATTTGAGCTTCTAGAAATATAAAAAAAAAACTTCAAGGCTTATCAAAGTACATGGTATAGAAGACAAACTTAAGATGAAATTAAAAATGTTTTCCGTGAAAAATTGGATAGTCGGATTTTCGTTTGTTAGCTTAGATTTTGTCGGCGTAATTGACACATCGATAAACTTTCTTGTACTCTTAGCAGTTTTCATCGTAGATGGTAATGTTTTTGATTTACTCCTGTGATTTGTAAAACTAATAGCCCTGATGTTTTATATTTTTCTTGGTTTTCCTTTTTTCTCACTTAAAAAAACTTTATTTAGTCTAAATGGTTTCGGCTGATGTTTTATCGGCTCAGTCACATTATTTTGTGCGTTTCAAAGCAAAAAAAAGTTTGATTTCTAAAACCTATTAACGTAGTTTGTGTTTCATGATTTCAAAAATTAGAACAACTTATTTGCTCTAATTTTGCAAGCTAGCGAATAGAAAATGAAACGGAAATCACAAAATCATAAACATTTGGAAATGAAAATAGTTTCAGAAAAACGGTCAAGAAACACAACCACTTACACTAAATAAATTTTTTTATCAACCGAGCGGCCAGTACCCCGACACAAGTTGAGTATAAGCCCATTGAGCAGAAAAAAAATTTCATCAAAAAACGTTGTCCGAAAGAGATTTTGAGGCTCCGGTGGTACAGGTGGTTAGGTTTCTTGACAGTTTTCTGAAACTTTTTTCATTTCCAAATTTTTATGATTATGTGATTTCCCTTTCATTTTATATTCGCTTGCGCGCAAAATTTGAGCAAAAAAGTTGTTCAAGCACTTTGAAATCATGAAACACAAACTACCTGGACAATTTTATTTTAAAAGAAGAAAACACTTTTTTTTGGCTTTTGAAACGCACAAAATAATGTTACTGAGCCGATAACTTATAAGCCGAAAATATTCAGACCGAATAAAGTTTTTAAGTGAGAAAAAAGGAAAATCAGGAAAATATATACGCCAGGGCTATTAATTTTTACAAATTACAGGAGTAAATCAAAAACACTACAATCTACGATAAAAACTGCTGAGAGCACAAGACAATTTGCCGATGGGTCACTTACGACGACAAAATTTGAGCAAACAAACAAAAGTCCGAGTACCCAATTTTTTACGGAAAAAACTTTCAATTTCATATTTACTAAAAAACACAAGGTCAAACCGGCGCTTGAACTCCAGACGCTTGGGTACAAAGACATCCACTTTACCTCTAGTCTAGGTGGCAAGGAGTCTTGAAGGTGCTAAGGTTCAACAAAAAAGCAAGTCAGAAAAACAAGTAAAACTTGTATGAAAGGTTGTTTACGGAAAATTCTAGCAAGCGGAAAATCAACCGTGCAGTAGATCTTTCTATTAGCAAGCAACATCCATTAAATTGGGTATTCTTTTTGTTATTATCTTCAGCCATTTAGAATTAAATAATTTTTCAGTTATTCGGGATGCGTAAAAACAAGGCAGCATGTCAAAGGTCACGATGCCGCAATTGCGTGTGTCAGTTTGTTGGCAATTCAAAAAATCTTCGACTCGATTGGCTATCCCCTATAAAGTGGTGTCACATCACCTTTCGAAAAACAGTTCTAGTCGATTCCTTCGCCCACTAAAGCATGGCTGGTGGTTTGACTGCTTAAGACTCACCAACTTTTGTTTATATTGAAACGAATAAAAAGCGTTGTTTAAGCGTAACCTAGATTTTGGTACCGGTTTTTTTAGCACACCAATCTCTTGGCTAAGGTAAAAACTGGGCCTTTAAGCAGACATCTGTTATATAACTGAAGCATATTTGATTGAGAGACTATGGAAAGATGCTGAGTCAGTGGTTGAGTTTACTCCTCATTCGGGGGGGGGGGGACAATTCTCTCGCAGGTTAGAAAACAAAACTCGATCTAACTTCAAAAACAAAATAATCTATTTTAACTGGAAGCCCTGATTCACGCGCACAATGCCAATCGTGTCGAATGTAGGCGCAGCGGAGCAAACGGTCGCTACTTGCCAATGCCGCCCTTGAAATGAGCGTTCTGACTTGTTAATTGTTTTGTGCCCGCTAAAAGTTTGGTCTCCTAAAAACCGGTCTGCTAAAAAGACCTAGTCCCCCTAGGATGACAGGCCTACGATCTAGTTACCCAAGTTAGCTGTCTAACTGAAATATATAGTTATATATTACAATTTCGGCAACCTGTTACTTCGGCACGTTGATCATTTACCTATAAAAAGTATTGAAAACTATTTACACTAAAGTTGAACAGAACATTATTTTCGGCACTGTTGTACAGCCTCGCTGAAAATGTCATGCCGATTTATTACCCCTTTGGGATCTTATTAATTATTTCCCCTATTCTAAAAGGGGGAGATTCGTTACACGGTACAAAACTAACATATGCTTAGCGGTTGAATTAGTATTTCTTTATAAAGTTGGCAATTTTTTCCTAGCTACTATAGGGTCGGAAATTGTTAACAAAATCCCCTATGGTACCCAGTAAGAAATAATCAGCCATATAAAGAAAATATTCAACGCTGAAGTATTTGAGAATATGGCATATGGTAAAGAACCAAGCCCCCCCCCCCCCCCCCTGTAATAGAGGGGGAAATTATTAACATTATCCGCTTATGCGCTCTCAATTAAACTCATCGACCACACCTGAAAATTTTACTTTTTGACCCAAAGTTTACTTTTGACCCGAAAACGGCAAATGAGAAGAGAGTTCATTTTAGGCAAACGACCGTAAACAGAGTATAGTAACAGGAGACATCTTCGTCATATGATCAATCAAAATAGTGCTTTTATCACGTGAAAACATGGTACAACTTACAACACGTGGTGAATCTACTTCGATTTACTATTAATTCAAGAAAAGTTGGGGGTGGTACCAAATTCAAAAGAAAAACAAAAATTACGGAACTTTTGACTCAACCCAAAGGTCATTTTGTATCATCTTATGGGTAGAAACTTTGAGCTTTTGTTTTATTAACGCCAAGGACAACTTAATTCGATCACCACTGAACAAAGTTACCGTAGCGTTCGGAGATTCGATCAAAGCACATTTCTCGTGGCGTGACAAATTGGCATATCAATGTTTTAATAATCATTTCTGAAGTGTATGAAACAAAGTCTTAAAATTACGATAGGTCGGAAGTTGGGACAAATAATCAACTGTCTAAATCAACAAACAACACGGGACCTGAGAACAAAATGATCAGAAATAAAACAAAATATCAAAACCAGGTATAAAATAAAATGGCAATTATAAAGTAACTTATTGCATGAATATCGACAAATAAATAAATAAACAACAGCACACACCACCACAATAGTTGTTTATCGAAAAGTTGATTATCATTTACGATTTACCTCCAAATTGTAAAGTAACTATATAATTATTTGCAGCCTACGCATAACATTGGTAACCCTTGTTTTTTGACTAAATACTTTGCTAACCAACCCAATACTGAATTATTTATGATATTTAATATTTGAATCGAGTCCAGGACATATAACCTACTACACCAAATATTGCCTGAACCGAAAGGTCAACCCTCGTTTTCTCAAATTTTCCATTTCAGTCGCGCCTAATTTAGAGTTCAAATTCAATTGTGCAAAAAAACTTACAATTCCAACAACCTATTTCGAAAAGCAACCTACAAATTTTATTTATTTCAGAAATTCTATTAATATCACAGCAAGAATCAACAATAAATTATCAAATTTTTTATTTTTTTTGCTCATATAACCAATTAAGCCGATCGAACTAAACCATAATCACACATTATGAGTAGATTTCGCAAAATTAGTAGATCACAAAGTGTCGAAATAATTAAAGAGGGCAACTTGATTTACGTTTCAGAAAAGAAAAATTCGTCAATCCATTTATGGCATAGACTTCGCCATAATGGCCACACATGTCAATTACATAACAGAACGGCCATACTTTTTAAATTCCCAAACGGAAAAATTGTTTTCAAGTGTTATAAAAAATACAAAGCTACACATAGTATCGATTTGTCTCTTGTTGTCTCGATAAAATCTGTCGGTCAAGCTTCGTTCGAAATAACGACCAGTATTGAGTCACATTTATTCGAAGCAGCGACTTCGGCGGAACGAAATCGTTGGGTCAAAACATTTCAAAGTCTCGAGGACGATAAATGCTTTAGTTTTTCACCATTTTACAAACTGGATGAACCTTTGGTTCAAATAGCAGAGCAACAAAATAATCGAAAATACGAAAAAATTTTCGCCAAAAATGAGAAACTTCGCAACTTCTCCGAGAAAGACAGCGACGATCTTCGTCGAAATGCGTTGGAGAAAATTTGGAGCCGAAGACGCTACGACACATTTGAGACGACTCAAAGTCGGAGCGAACGAAATAGTGATGGAGGCTGCTCCAGCTTCGGCACTTCAGAATGCTCGGCTTCGTGGGCAGTGAACGAGTTATGCTCGCCGTTTGCATCGAGCAGTTCGGTTGTGTTCACGAATCCAAACGAATCAGAAGTCCCAGATTTGCTCGTGGTTAGTCAAATTAAAATTACTTACTTCACAGGCATGGCAAAAATCAGCAGAGCCCAAACTCTGCGTTGAGGTCTACTTTCGAAATATCCGGGATACTGCTCAGCATATTGATGACATGCCTGTTCGTCTAGTTCTTAAGCTATTTTTTGCTAGTTCTCTACTTTTGTAATATTACAGCCTTTTGCCATTATTCGAGTATTTGTGCAGCAAGAACTCCAAAAATCCTAAACTTTAAATTAAACTGAAATTAAACGACAAAATGATGTAAGTTATCGTGAATAAAACCAATCTTACAAACGATAAAAATAATTTAAAGTAGCTTTAAATTTTAATTTGCTTACAGTTCGAGGAGGACGAGATACGACGTTCACAGACAACTTCGACCTGCCAACCCCTCCAATGCTCCCCCACCCAAAAAGTGAAGTATATCAGCCTAGCACGATCAGTTTCTGACGACTCCTCCAACGGCACTTTGCGACACCCGACCGTCGCCTCCAGAGACCAAACTCCCCCCGCATTTGAAAGTTATTACAACCATGAAATCGCAAATTTGAGTTACTACAATAGCCGGCCGCAAAAAGCGCATCGAATCCGAATAGGCAAACAGCCGACGAGCAAAATAGTATACGAAAAGTTGGATCGAGAGCGCATGGAGGCAATTGCACAAACAGAAGCTCAGTGGCAGCATTTTCTACACTTTGAGCGATGTGCCAAGTCTACTGCTGCTAAACACACTCAAAACTTCCCCATTTCAGTCCGCGTTAAATAAAAATTAAGACAAAAACGTAACTTTTAAACTTAATTAGTGTATATTTCATTGTTTTGATTCCCTATCGTCGTTGAAACTATTTCGATTTTGTTGCATTATTCTAAGTTGCGAATCTTTGCTTTCTGTTTTCCCTCTAAAATAAACTTTATCATGCTGGTGCCAATTTGAATAGTTGATTTAGTTAGTTTAGTTTCAATTTTCTTTTATAACAGTTCTCTACCTCCTCTACTTTGATTATATTTAATTAAAAAAGTTATAACTCAAAATATTTTCAAACAAGAGCAGTAATTTTGCGAGTAGAAGACCCATTATTTCAAGATGGACTAAAGTTGAACAAAAAAAATTAAAAGCAATTGATTCTTATGCAAGACAAGCATGATATTTCCACGCGAAATCACAATTACAAACTAGAATCCAACACAAAAAAAACTTAAAACAGTGGTTTAATTATCACAAAAATTCGCGAGTCAATAATTTTTGATTTGAAATTTAAGCGTCGAGCTCTCAGCAGAATGAAAATATTGATATGTTATAGCTCCGACCATGGAAAATGATAAGGAACTTTGTATTCGGGTGTTTTTTTAGTTTATTTTTGTAATTTGTTTCATGAAACTCAGAAATTAAAATTAGGAACAATTAATTGTTTTCTAGTTTTCTTGAGTTCATGAAAACATTTCAAAAGTTCTGCTGGCAATAGTTTCTGTATTTTCTTCTCCAATTTTTGTGCTCTTTTTTTGATTTACTTTACTTCACAATCTTGCTGTTCCGACCATTCAAAACGGGTAACAACTATGAATTCAGGTGTGTTACATTTTTTGTTTTCCACACAAAATCAGGTATCACAAATAATCATTGGAAGGTGTTAAGAGACATATCAAAGAGTAACGTTGTTTGCTCAAAAGCTCAACTTTCTTTTAGGCTTTCAGACGACGAAAACACGATTTTAGTAAACGAGAAGCTAAATTTGGAAGTATCACTCAGCACTTCTTCGGCAAAAGAAGTCTTTCAAAAAATTTGAAATTGAAGTGCAAAAAAAAACTGAAGAGGAAATTTGAATCTTTTTTTTTGAAGAGAAAGGTTGTCCCTGAAAAAAAAACAAACAAAAATCATTACGCTCATCACTCTTATTCAATTTTATCGTTTTTTACCGCTTCAATGTATGTTTTGTAAATTTTGAGTAGCGCATTAAACTGAGCCTGTTTTTAAAAACTCTAACATTTTAGATTATGAAAAAACACAAAGCCAACAGATAGTTCAAAAAGTGCAAAAGAACACACAACCCAAAAAATTGAGAAAATTCAACATTTTGCAACTTTCGATTTTCGAAGAAAAATTTTAGTACGTAATGCTATTTTAAGTTCAAGAATTGTTAACGATTGACACTATTATCTTGAAGAAACTTTAAGTCCATTTTTTGAATCTAGAAGTCTTTCACGCTTTTCGTGGCCTTAAGACTTTTGCTGTTCGATAGTGGAGTTTGCCTTCAATTTGAGAAACAAACTGAACTGAACTTAAAAAGAAAAGAAAAGTCAAACCGCGAAAAATCAAACTTGAGCGTGAATGAGTTTTAACACTTTTCCTGCAACTTAATTTTTATCGAAATTTTTGAACAATTCCTTGTTGCGACCAATGAAAGTGGGGAGTAATTTTGTCTTCGGGTGTGTTTCACCTTTGTTCCGCAAAAAATCAGATACCACAACTAATCATCAGATTAAGTCAAATAATATATCATACAAAAGTTTTTCAGTCGTGATTCAAACAAAAAAGACATTTTTGAAAAAAAAAAATCGGCAAAACGAGGTCCTAAAAATCTTGCTAAGCGGTCAACAACTATTACACTGTCATTTCATTTCGCTCTTGATTTGAAAAACCCTACATGAAATCAGAAAACAATCATAGCGCTGAGAAAAACTGATTTTTGATCTTGAATCATTATTGACCGGCCAGGATTTTAATAAATGAAACCAAGTTCTATGAAATACCATTAACTGGTTTGAAAAATAAATTGACTCAAAAAATATCGTCAGCCAATTCTCACTTCGCACAAGTCCAAAAAACTGCATGCGCGCATTTTCGTTTTTTAAGTTGAAAATGATTTTTTTTTACTAACACAGCTACTTGGTTCTTGATCTAAGCTTAGGGTGATTTTTCCGCTAAAATTTTGAAATCACAAAAAAAATCGAGGGGAACATGCGCGGTGCTAGAGTAAAATGTTTAGAAAGTAATATTACATTCGCGGTGCTATAGTAAGGACTCAATATTTTTAGAGTGAAATCTCGACTCGGCTTTACCATTGAATATTAACCCGCGCAAAATCCAGTAACTCAAGGACCGCTCGAACGCGGTCATATGTGCTATCATTAAAAAAATCCTTTTCAAACGTTACTTGAACCTGAAACATTGCAAAACCAAGCGGTAGATAATTTGAAGCACACAAAGTGCGTGTATGTAACTTGAATCCTAGGATAAGACTTTAAACATGTTAAATACAATCGGCGGAAACCAATGATCATATTAATTGCAGCTTCCAGAACCATATGGTCGAAACTTGAGGTTTGTCGGCATTGAAAGAGTGTCGCTGAAGCCACAATTAATTATTAAAAAAAAAACATTTTCTTTAGGATGAAAATGTTTGCTCTGAAAATCCATCTCACACGAGACAAACTGCTACTGAACTTAACAAAACATCTTAACAAGACACTGTTTCAGAAACATAGCCAATCGAAGATTGGAAAAGAGTAATGAACGCAAGTAAACATAGAAGAACACTGACTTAGTTGAAAAAATCTCAACTTTCGAACTTCAAAGAAGAAAAATAGATGCCCTTTAAACTCTTTGAATTTCTAGAACGATTTATGATTGGCGCTTTTTTGATAACATTAAACCAACTTGAGAAAACTGGATCAACAGATAAAGTTTTTATTCCACTGGAAATCTGAAAATTAAATTCCACTTTTGAAACTAGAAATCGTTCACGAATTTTTGCGCCATTTGTACGTTCGTATTTGGAGAGTGCAATCTACGTCACTTTCAGCAGATGAATTTCAATTGAACTCAAAAAGTGCATATATACCTAAGTGCATCAATATTTTCACGTTTTTCCTGAAAAAAAAACAAAAAAAATCAGGAAGACCTATATAAGAGTCTTCACTACGTTCAATACTCTTTAACACGGTTCGCACAGAAGTATTTAGAGGAATCATTAGAGAAGAAAAAGATAGAAAATCATTCAAAAACAAAAAAATGATGGTTGCAAATCTTGAATTTCGATGGCATATTTTGTTAATTTCTCCAGCATGTACGTCAGCTGACACAGTGTTAATCGGAAAACAGAAACAATTAAGTTGATAGAAGCAACCACGAAATGTATTTGGAGAACCGAAGACAATAAACATTTTGGATATTGTTGAACAAAATTTGAGCTATACCTTGAAAATAAATTAAGAAAAACAACATCTAAAAGTCTTTGCAGCCACCACTAACACTTAAACATTTTCCTTCATTCTATTTTCCTGGTCAATTATTTTGGAACCAAGGATAACTGTTTTGGCGGCTCCGATCGGAACCGCTTGATAACTTAACCCTTACTAAATTTTACGAAACATAAATGGGATGCACAGAAGAAACCTAAAAATTGTATATCTCATAGGAAGATGATCTGTTTTAGTTTCTCACAATCGATCATTTAAATGAAAGAAATTAAGATAAATTGCATCTATGATGTAGTCGCCTGGGCGTAACTTTCTCAAATTGATCTTCGGCCCAATTACTCTATAACTGAGACTTTTTTTCAAAAAGTAATTCCACACTTGTAAGCTTAATTTACGTTATTTTGTCGTGTAGCTGATGAGAAGGCAGATGCATGCACTCAGATAGGTCCTTCTTGTCTCGGCAGAATTGTCCTGAAAAAAATTAGATTGTATTAAAACTGATCGTTCGCCTATTATCGCTATTTTCATTTTATGCACGACTTTTCTCAAATTTTCTCTATATATAAATGTTCATGTTCGCACACTTCATTTTATGCAATTATCCGACTTAAATTAATTTGAAAAACCAAAAACAAATCCGCGAACTTTTATATTTCAGGTCCTATTATGTATTAAATTAAAATAACCCCAAAAACTTCGTAAACCAGAAACAGTCAAGATCATGTGATTTTGAAACCTACTGGCAGGGGATAATCTAACGAGCAAAAAAACTCGGATTAATTTGATACTAAAAGTGTGCAGGAGAAATTACCAAGAGTGGATGATGGATCGATAGGAGGTTCTTCAGAGATGAGATCGGATAGCTTCTTTCCCACAGGCTCGATCCCTTTGCGGTCTGACTGAAACAATAAACATAGCCAACAGACAGTTGGAAAAGAGTCAGTGAACGCAAGTATACAGAAAAAATACTGAAATTTTTTTTTTTGAAAAAAATCTCAATTTCGGGAATTTCCAAGAAAAATATATATGGCCATAGAGTGCTTGAGATTTCTAGAACAAATTAAGATTGACTTTTTTTGGGTAAATTTACCCAATTTGATTAAACTGGATCAAAAGATAATATTTTTATACGGCTGGATAACCTGATAATAAAAATCGATGTTCAAAGTTAGAAGTAGATCACTTTTTCGTGGCCTTTACCCTTTTGCTGTTGTAAAAATTAGTACGCTCTCCATTTAACAGAAGAATGGACCTGAACTTCAAAAAAGTCAGAAGTCAAACTGCGAAAAAGTAAAATCGAGCCTGAACATATCTTAAGAATTTTAATGAAAAAAAATGAAAAAAATCATCGCGACTCACACAAAAGTCTGAAATATGTTCATCGATTCTTAGGCAAACAATATAGGCGAAAAATATCTTAAATTTGTGAACGTTTTCCTTTCAAATGTTTCTTCGCATATAGCAGTTTCACTATGCTTTATGATGTTCTGATACAAAAAAAAGACTCTCAGTGGCCATATGCATTCAATATATCTTCTTCTTTTCAGTCCTTATGTTAACTGATTCAAAATATTTCATTTGCTAAATTTAAAAAGTATAGTGTCATTTGACATTCATTATGAGGCCTAAATGTGTATTTTGTGAATTGAAAAAAAATCCGCAACAAGGTCGCTCTCTTTGTTCTTCTTTTGTTCTTTCCTTTTCATTGGTCGTTCCGACAAAAATTTAACATGTTCACAGACATCCCTCGGGATTCCAGAGACTTGCAAACATCAAATCGTGCATCTATCCAGAGCAGAAATTGGCCTTTTAAAGTTTGTCGTATATCGGAGAAAACTTTTTAAAAATTTTTTTCTCGATAAAAAACCCCTGAACTCCCATCTAAATAATGATTAAGATTCCCCTATATTAGGTTTAATAGAAACTATGATTAAAAATTCCTTTTTTGGCAATAAAAATGTATGTTTTTTATCACTTAACTTTTCAATCAGTTGCTAAGCGCCCTTGCGTCAAGTCTCTGTAACACAGACTTTATAGCTAAAAAAAATGTCGAAATGAATTTTATTTGAAGCTCACCGGGAAGCAAAGTTCCCTGAGCTTTCAAAAAAGGTAAGTGTATTCGAAAATCCATGAGACTTCAGTAGAAGTCCGTTTTACTCGACGAAACGACAAAAATAAGCAGAAAAACGATATAAAAACAATTCAAATTTTCTCAGAAAAACTCAAACGCCATAGATATGAAAAACTCAAGGTCCGGGCAGAACTCGAACCTCGGACTCTAAAGGAACAAACTATACTACTAGTAAAAAAAGGAAGTGCTCGGAAGTTTCATAAAAAAATAAGCCAAGTCAACTTCTCCTAGAGTTCTCAGAAAAGTTGCTTAACTGAAAAAAATAAAATAAAATAATAAAGACAACACAGAAGTAAACAATCTACCGCTAAAGTAACCAACTAGAAAAACTTGATATACACAGAGGCAAAGTTGCACTTCTCATACACAAGCAAAAAATTACTGATAACGCTACTGGAAAAAACTGAATGAGTAAAACTTTGAGTCTATAAAATTTCAAAAGTGACGCACGCCAATTATGAGTTTACATAATTGCTAAATGACGGAAGCCAATTAAGACGCTTTAGCAGTACCAGTCAACTTAAAAAAAGAAACTCACCAGGCCTCAATTTATAGAGCGGAAGCATTTAAACTAGTACACAAAAGTGCCTTACAAACATCCGACCCTGCCCAGGTTCGAACCCTCTTATTTTGCTGCTGGTCACCCTCCCTACCTCTACGCTACATATCCATGATACTTTAAAGCTAAAATGCTATTTGTAATATAATAGTCTGTTATAATATCCTTAGCATTGGTTGTACTTAATAGTTGGATCAAAATGAACACTTTAAAATGAAACATTTTGTCGCAACAATATTTGCGACTTAGGTTGGAAAAAAAGATGCTTGTGTAAACATGTCTACATTATTAACCGTGCAAAAAAGCTAAAATCTGATCGTCCAAGAAAAATTATTTAACCAGAAGTCTCTATCTTATTAAATCTATCTCTATTTTTAAAATTTTACTTCTAATGAAACAAAATTATTCTGGCGATATACTAGCCCAACATTACATTTTAAAAACTCAAGGCGTTTTCAATTTTTTCCGCTAAAAATGAGGACTTGTTTCTTTACAATCTGAGCACTTTACACTGATGTAAGGAAGATCGAATTTTGCTTGAAAGTTTTGTTGAAACGGCCTTTTATTTATTTACATTTAAACTACACTCACCCGGGTTGACCAAAAAAAGCTTATCATACAATTCTCATAAATGGGAAATTTCTTTTCATACAATTTCATACAATTCCATACGTACAGAAAATTGTATGAAAACTCTATGATGAGCATTTTCCCATAAATGGAAATTGTATAATAGGTATTTTCCCCATAAACCAAAACGTTGTTTTTTGTTTTTAAACTTACTTTCTGAAAAATTTTGGGTTTGTGTTTGCAACCGAACACAAGTGACAAAGACCTTGGTTACTCAAAGCACCAAAGGTTGGACGGTCTTACATTTACAATGCATAAAAAACTACCTGAATTGTCTTCCAGAAGTCTTTCACAAATGATATAACAAAAGTAACAAACTTTTAATTTTTGACAAAATTTTTCAGTGATGATTATTTTAAATTTTTGAGTTTTCAAATTATCAGACATGGATCAAGGCATACATAAACACGTCATACAAAAGAAATAGGAATTTTCAGCGTTTTTGAAAAAAAAATCAAGTGAAAAGAAAAAAAGCCAATATTATCGTATTCAGGACTACGTTATGCACAAAAAAATTAAATTTTGCATGCAAAAAAGTTTTTTTTTCGAAAAATGTTTGTTTGCGTACAAAATTCGATTTGCGGTTGAAAAAAAAAAACAAAAAAAAATTTGGGGCAAATATTCAAAATATATATGGAAATTGTATGGAAAGCATTTTTCCTGTTCTCAAAAAGCCGCATAAATGGGTAAATTTTTTTTCTATTGTTTTTCGAAAATGAATGAAAATTGAATGACAAGCATTTTCTCCATCCATACACTTGATGTATGGATTTGTATGATAATGATTTTTGTTGTATTGAATTGTATGATAAGCAATTTCAGTGTGTGGAGGTCAACCCGGGCATTTTGTCAAATTTTTTTATCGATAATCACTATTATTATTATCAAAAACTTGAGATGACGATTTAAAGAAAGTTCATAACTTGAAGTGGTTGAACAAATAAGCAAAAATAGTAGCCCTGCTAAAAACGGAGAAAACGACTTGGTATTTTATGAAAATATAGAAATGATACAAATGTAGAACGTTAAGAGTGATAAAGGGGGGTTTCCGGTGAAAAATGAACTGATTGGCGACAGAATGGTAACAAAATCTCGAAACGCTCCGGGTAAAAAAAATATGGCTAAGGAATGGCTTCAGTCAAAACTGTATTTTAAGAGCTCATGCGCTCAGTCGCGAAGCTACGACAGCTGTCAGTATGGCAGTTCGATTCAGTTCAAAGCCAATATAATTTTCAAATTCCGTTAACTTACATGATTCAATAAATTCAGAAAAAAATCGAGAATTTTAGCTGCGAGCAATGTCGATTCAAAAGAGGGACCCTAAAACTCTCATGTACGGTAAAAATAGCTATATACACTCCTGCACGCCATTTTGCGTTCTTTGCTCATGAAAACCAAGAAAGACAAAGGAGCAATTTTTCATGCCAAAATGTATCGAAATGTTAATATCTGTATGTATGTAGTCTGGGGCGTTAGCAATCGTTAAAAATTTTTTTAATAACCAGTAAAAAGTCAAAATTTGGAATTTTCTCCAGCCCATAGAGGTTTTGTACTAAAACTAGGGAGAAAACACTACTGCACAAAAAATCATCAGAACCCAAGAAATTAACCCCGATTTGGGTGGATAGTTTTCGAGAAAATAAGTAAGTTTCACGAAGACGGTCATAAGGCACATAATGATTTTTTTAAGAGTAAAACGAAATTTTTCTGCATTCATAAAGCAAAAACGATATTTTTAAAACACCATTACGTTCATACAGCAAAAAAATGGCAACTAAAACCATTCTAAATTAAACAGGCAAGCAATTTGGTAACTTTTAAAACAAAATTGCAAGCCTCATTTCAAATTAGAATGATTTAACTTACCGAACTGACCAATTTGGCAATTTTGCAGTCCATATAACTCAACGAAAACATCATAACATAAATTTCAACCCTCACACTCAAACAAACCATTTTGTTCTTTTCTTAATGTATGGAGGGATAGTATTAACTTTTGTTTTTTTTTTGAAGTTTTTAAGCTCTTTTTATCAATTTCGTTGCCCGTGTTTGCCATGTGCAGCTTCGCCTCTTCGCCAAAAATTACACAAAGGCATTCGTGAACAAAAAATTTTCTGAGCGAAATATGCAGCAGCACTTTTCTTTTTTCAAAAAAAAAATTCATGTTTGATAAACAGCAATTTTCGAAAGGTATGGGATTTGGTTTTTTATTTTGTTTCGATATTTTTTTAAATTTTTTGTGAGACGCCCTGTAACAATTTTTTTGCAAAGTTTTAGCTGTTTGCGACAATTACTCTGCCGGTTTTCAACAAAGAAACGATAAATGTGCAAAGAACGGCTAGTAAACTGGGGCAATTTTCAATGGGGCATCGTTTTGCCCTTTTTTCAGTTTTCTCGAAAACTGCCCTACCAGAGGGTTAAATCAGAGAAACAGATGTCGTTGAACGTTCCGTTTACTTCTTATTACGACCTACCGCTACGCCCCATCTTATATCAAAAGAAATGTTAAGGCCACAAAAATGCTAATCTTTAACATTTTGGTTTTTTTCTTCAAAATTTTACTCAAAAACTACATTACCAAGTCTAGGGTTAAGAACTTAATCGACAAAATTGAGTGTGAAAACTCACTGCATGAGCCTCCACGCTCTAATATTTATAGAAAAAATTTTACAGCTCTAGGAAAACGTCAATTTTGACATTTGACAATTTTATTGAAACTTCTGACTTATGATAAAAACTACCCTCCCGATACCTGCTTTTCCAATCGAACCCTCTGGCAGGAGAGCTTTCGAAAAAAAGGACAAACATTGCCCCCATCGGAAATTACTGCGGTACAAGGAGCAGTAAGGTGTAAAAAAAGAGATCACGCAGGCATACAGTGCAGTAGCCGTTCTTACCATGTGTACCTTTTCTTTCCTTGTAAAACAACCGGCAGAGTAGTTGTCGCGAACAGCTAAACTGTTGCAAAAAAATTGTTCCTGGTCGTCTCACAAAAATTGGTATGTAGTCTCCAATGCAAATAAAATTACCAGAACAATTTCTTTTCATTGAGCTTTAAGACCAGTTTTGGGAGGCTAGTGTTTGAGATAAGTTAGAAGTTTCACTAAAAATGTCAAATGTCAAAATCGACGTTTTCCTAGAGCTGTAAAAGTTTTTCTTTAAACTTTAGAGCACAGAAGCTTAAGCAATTTTTTCAATTTTTTCGATTGAATTCTTAATCCTAGACTTGGGAATGTAGTTGTTGAAAAAAGTCAAATTTTTAAGAAAAAATATCAAAATGTTAAGGAGTAGCATTTTTGAGGCCTTAACCTTTTTTTGATATAAGATAGGACGTAGCGGTAAAGCGTATTAGGAAGTAAGTGTAAAGTTCACCGATACCTGTTTTGCCGAGCGAACCCTCTGGTAGGACAGTTTTCGAGAAAGTTGAAAAAAGAGGCAAAACTTTACCCCATTGAAAATTTCGAAGGCCGTACAAGGTGGAGTAAGATGTGAAAAAGAGATCGCAGGCATACAGTGTAGTAGCCGTTTTTTCCACGTGTATCTTTCCTTTCGTTGAAAACAGGCAGATTAGTTGTCGAAAACAACTAAAACGTTGCAAAAAGGAAAATTGTTCCAGGGCGTCCCACAAAAATTAAAAAATGTCGAAACAAAATAAAAAACCGAATCCCATACATTTCTAAAATAGCTGTGTTTATCAAACACGAATTTTGTGAAGAAAGATAAAAGCTGCTGCATATTTTGTTCACGAATTCCCTTGCCTATTTTTTTTGGCAAAGCGGCGAAGCTGCACATGGAAAACACTGGCAACAAAAATGACAAAAAAAGCTTAAAATATTCAAAAAAAAATTAATACTATCCCTCCATACACTAAGCAAAGAACAAAATGACTTATTTAGTGTGAAGTTTGAAAGTTATTTTATGATGTTTTCGTTGAGTAATATGGACTTCATATTGCTAAATAGGTCAGTTTGGTAGGTATTGATTTAATAGGTACCAAACTGCTTGCCTCAAATCAAATTAGAAAAATTGAATTTGTCACTTAGGCGTTGTAGGAACGCAATGGAGTTCATCTAACTGAACAAAAACATCATAACATGTCTTTCAACATTCGATCTCAGGACACAAACCAATTTCAGATGGAATCGAAAGCTTCTGTCAAAAACGCTGAGCTGAAAAGTCGAAGTCTGTCTGAAAAAAAACACCAAGCATAAATATCTCATCGAAATTTAAAACAAGAGCTTCACAAGACAAAAAGACTCAAACTGAAAACTTGCAGATTGAGAATCACAGACTTATTCACTCAGCAACGAAACCTGACTGCAACTCAAATTTCAGCAGCACCAAAAGAGATCTAATTCAGCGGATAGAGAGGCAGAGAGAAGGGTTGAATTAACCCCTTGAAAAATTTTTAAAAAATACTTTAAATTACAAAATTACATAATTAGGATCGACAATAAAAACAGTTACATTTTGCTGGCCAAGTACATTTTACACTCTGATTAAAAGCCATCAACGCTTTCCTTTAGAACACCTGAACTTTCTTTTTCCATTCAAAAAAAGGAGATCGATCATCAATCTTCAGATGGTTGACCAATCTGACAACCCGGTCAAAATAAAAAGTTTAAATCTTGAAATACTTCCAAATCTTGAAATTGAACAAGTAGTGGTCAGAGCGGCGGAGGGAGCAGAAGGGCTTTTGCGCTCGAGCCCTTTGGCAGATCAATTGTCGAAAAAATTGAAAAAACGGCTGAACCTTGCCCTCATTGCTAATTTCGAAGGCCGTACAAGGTGCAGTAAAATTTTAAAAAGAAATCTCGCAGTCATACAAGGCAGTACCGGTTCTTTCCATGTGTAACTCTTTCTTTAAAAACGGCTAACAGCTTACATTTTGCTAAAAAAAAAGAAAAATGTTCAAAAACCTCTCTCAAAAAGTTTAAAACAAAATAAAAAGCCAAATCCCATACATTTCAAAAATACCTGTTTTTTTATCAAACATAATTTTTAAATGTAAATCAAGCAAGTTTTGATAACACCGCTGCTGTAGAGCCAACAGTTCATAAAATATCGTTCATTAAAAGCTTAAGTAACGGAAAATAAAATAATTGGTACTCAGAAACTCAGCTTAAGAAAATTTACAAAACAATGAGCGATTTCTATTCGAAAAAAAATACCTTAAAGTGTCTCATTGGTTTTACAAAACAAGCGCTAGCTGAGTGCAAAAATTTTTATTTCAAAACAAAAATCATGCGTGAAATAATTAGCAATACAAAAAATGAAAACCAGAAAATATAAAAAAAGTTTAAAAATTTGCAGTCTCTTTCATTTTGCCTCAATGATCAATCTATCATAAGAACGAAACATAAAAAAAATTACCCCCGTTCAATGGATACAAACTGGAAGTATATTTATATTCAGACAGCTTTTTCTCGGCGCTGCGAAAACATTTTCAAAATTTTTGATTGTAGATCGAATCATGGCTCAAAATGTAGCATCTGATTTGACGTCTTGCGACGTGTCTTTGTGTGGCTGAATTTACGTTAAGAAAACATCCGAATACGAGGCAACAGGTTGAAAAAATCCACGTCGTTTAGGGAGCCTACTAAGGAAGTCAGCCAATCAAAAACGAGATAAGAAAACATCCGTACTAAATATTTTCTTTTCGCAGTTCTGATTGGCTTAAGACGTATCTTCTTTATGACCTGTCTTCTTTTTGCTACGTAACCCCTTCTAAGATAGAGAACAATTTTTCATTGCATTTTCTATTGAGGTTATTAGAAGAACTATGAGCGGAAAAAATGAAAACAATAACGCAAATTAAGCAAAACCATAGCATTCAACAGAACCGTATCGTGCAAGAAAAATGAGAGTCTCAAATGCTTTGTACATGCAATCTAAACTTAGATGGAAAACTAACCTAAACACAGATGAAACGAATTTGTAATGTTTTGGAAACAGATTGAGATATAGTTAAACATATAAATTTGTGATGGATTTGATTTTTGTTATGAGAAATACGAACCTGCTGCGAAGCGAAACTAAAATACCCACAAAATTTTGCCCGTTCTGTTTATAACTCAGAAAAATTTATAATTCTTCTTTTGAAAGGAAAAAATTGTTTTGGAAGTACTACTTGTAATGGCTCTATCGTCATACCAAATTGACCAAGTACAGACTACTATTAAACACAGCCGTCAACTAAGCAGTGGTTTTGCATAGTCCAATCCATGTATGAGACCTAAAAATCTTAGCTTGAAACTAGCAATTAGCATTGGTGTAAATCTAACTAAAGAGAACCAACCGAAATAGAACGGTTGGTAAGATAAAGAAGAAGCTTTTTCCTAATATTTAGATAACAAAAATAATGTTTAGATAATTTGTTCAGATACTTAAACTTGATACTTTTGTTCTTGGTAGTTTTCATCTTTTGATATCACGCATTAAGCAGAAATATCAGCATAACTTCAATGAAAACAACTGCAGGAGTTTTGTGGGATATATAAACTCTACATGATTAACGGTTGAAACGCGGCTTTAAAAGCGATTCAACACAAGTATGATAGTTCGGAAAAAATCCCTGACAAAATATTGCAAATCTTTTCATACAGCTGTTGCGTTTCTTTACTTGCCTTCTTGAGCTTTTTATAAAAATTTTCACAATTTGCTTCTTTCAGGCGTCCAGGAAGCATCATACTCGTCAGGGGCAGATCTAGGATTTTCTCGAGGGGGCGGATTTTCAAAAAAATTTTGAAAATTTTGCCGACTTTTTTTTAGATCGACCAAATTGATTTTCTGAGCTCTCTCAAATCACTATAAGGACCACATTTCGACAAAGTTTTCTACACGCAGGCAAATTTTTTTGAAACAAAGGAACTTTTTGAAAATTTTTGACCGAAAAATTGCGTTTTATGGCGCGCTCACCTTCAAAAATCCCCATTTTGACAAAATTTTCTGCGCCGCAGGCAAGGTTTTTCGTGAAAAAAAAACAAGCTACTTATTGGAAAACCTTGACCAAAAAAATCGCGTTTTTTTGACTTGCGCTCCCCTCTCAAAATTAGTACATTTTGGCGACAATGGCGCCTTAAGAAAAACTTTAGAGGGGACCCTTTGAGACGGCAGGGGTTCGAATCCCTGAAGAGGGCGTCTGACCCCCCCCCCCCCATAAATCCGCTGGTGATACTCGTACTAATAATTCTATTAATGAACAAAATGATTGTATAAATGAAATTAATAAATCAATTAAATGATTATGCTGACTGAATGAATAATTTGGGCTTGAGTGGTGAACTAACCGACACAACTTGTGCACATCAAGTTCCATCTGGGGATGATTGGAGATGAATGACTGCAAACTACTCAGCAGTTCCATAGGAGGCATCCGAAGCCCAATTGAGAGAATTTTATCCACTGAAACCAAAAAGACCAAATGATAAAATGATAAATACAAAATCGTACATGTGATTCAAAAAAAAAATGCAAAACATGCGACATATTCTGTGCATTTTGGGGAGAAAAGCATTGATAACAAACAGAGCTACAAAGAGCTGATCTGATGATAGAAACATAATCTTGAACGTAATGATCAGAAATTAAGCTTTAATACGTCCAGATCTAGATATTTATTTTGAGCCTGATACAAAATAAAATGTTACAAAGATTCAAAATAAAAAACTTGATTCAAAACAGAATAGAATTTTTTAAAATGCCGAAAACGTTAATTTTAATCACAACTTTGAGCAAAGATGCCGATTAAAAAACGTGAATCAATCGCTACGTTCATCAGATTTTTAATTCAACTGAGATATCCAACAGCTACTTTGAAACAAAAACAATTTATTAACACGTGAACATAATTTACACTTTTACACCAAGACGAAGCGGAGAGTCGGGCCAATTGCACTACAAAAAATTAATACGTTTCAATAAGTTGTTGTTAAAGAGATTCCAAGAGGAACAAAGACCCTACTTCTACCACCAAACTTTGAATCAAAAAGGCTCATTTAACAAACTCGCCCAAGGGAAAAAACCATTTGTGAAAAAGAAATAGGGAAAAACTGAATTCGTTTAAAAGTTTGTGATCAAATGAGACATTCATGAGGATAATTTAGTACACATGGTTCCATTCACTACTTTCCTGTACATTTTAGAATATTTAAAAAAATATAAATGAATGCTAAATTTTCGTTCGACCAAAAAAACACAAAAAGGACGCGAATCTTGTACTAAAATAGCTACAACAAAAAGAATACTTAAAAAATTTAAAAAAAAACACAATAATACACTCGATTCCCAAAAAAAAACATTCTTGTGGTTAACGAGACGATAAAAAGTGAGCCTACATTCCTGAAATTGAATCTTCAAAAAATCATCAAAACGGAAAACTTTTTAATTTATCGAAAGTACGTGTCCTGCCCGGACTCGCATCACTTTCCCTCATCGTCCAAAATACTGGAAGTAGCTCTATTAAATTTGCGCAGATCCATTGGATTTAACGTATTTCAATCATGAAGCAAGTCAAAATGATTCAGTTAGGCAGTTAGAAAAATTCCGTAGTTGAAATCGAAACTCTATTTAAGAACACTTAGTGCTCGTACTCGCACAGTTAAATCTTAAATTAAATACGATCGTTGAGTTTTAGTTAGACGAAAATGGGAGAGAAGAGAAAACTTTTCTAAGAGATTGTACGTATCGTAAAAAGAACAACCAAAATAACAGTTCTTTAGAAACTATTCTGAAATATTTTTAATTTCGCAGGAATTACTTTTTAAAATATCTGAATCATAATTTCGAATCATAACGGCTCCTTTGACAACTCAACACAAAGGAAGATCAATAGAATGTGAACAATAAAAATCGGGAATATTAGATTTCGTTTAAAGGTTTGTAAAGATAAAACATTTTGAGAATAAATACAAACTTGCATATAATTCATTGCTGTGTTAACCGAGCCGACAAAAAGTAAGCATACATACAATAAACTGAAAAAAAAAATCATAATGGGAGATTTTTAGGTTACAATAATTACGGTTCCTGGCCGGACTTGCATGAATTCACCTCATCGGCCGAAGTATAGCAGAAAAATATCTCGGATCCAGTTCTTGAACTAATTTCAACGACATGAAATAGTTCAAAATTTAAAGATGCAGATCGGTTCACGAAAAAATTAAGTTTTTCTCAAGCAAGCTATTCAAGCTAGGGAAAATTTCAAGCTATGAAATAATTCAAGTTATTTCAAGTTGTTTCATGACGCAAAAAGTTTCACGAAAAATTAAGTTTTTCGTTAAGCAAGCGATTGAAGCTATGGAATAATTCAAGTTTCATAGACAGAATCGGTTCGCGAGAAGTTTTAATTTTTCTAAGCAAGCTATTCAAGCTATAAAACCTTGAAACTTTTCAATTTCTTTCATGGACCAGCTCAATTTGCAAAAAAAATGGATTGTTTCAAAACAAGCTTTTCAAACAATGAAAATTCCCAAAAATTAGTTTTCCCAAAAAATTTTTTCCCAAGCATGGTGGTTGCTGTTTTCAGTTGATTCATTTCATGCTGAAATGAATCTTGAAGCGCAAAACTTTGGAAAAACGTGCCCAGGTACTCTCTAGCCTTGAAGTTGAATCGAGTTGACCTTGTTTAAGAGTTATTGACTTTTTCAAAAATCGTTTTAAAATACTCAAGCTTAAGAATGGTTAAGAAATCTGAAGCGACAATTTAATTTTGACTCAAAAACTTTGAAACATTCTAGATTCAGAAGATTTTCTTAAACGTTGAGTTCAATGATAGTTTTTAAGCATTGTGCTTCCTCGAAGCTAAAACATAGCATTGATTAATAATTAAACACAGAGGAGAAGCTGAGCTTCGCACCACTTGCGATACAAAACAAGGAAGCGGCTACGTCGAAAAAAAATCGAAAATGTCGAAAAAAAACTAGATCTATCGAAATAAATTATCCTAGTTCTGAAACAAAAACATGCCAAGACAATAGAAGATAAAATTAGCATCGAAAGAAAAATAATCAAGAGGTAACACAGCCGAAAACACTTCAGCAGAAACCCTTCAAGCTGGAAAAGGTTTAAAGAAATTGTACTGGGTCCCCCTCACCCTCAACACACACACACACAAACTTCATTCGCGGGTAAATGAAACAATATGATGTCACTAAGCTGAGAGTATTGGCCGAAACCTATTAAGCTGAAAAAAAAAAGAAAATAAAAAAGCAGAAAAAAGTCAAAAAAATTAAAGACTAGTAAAAAAAATTTTTAAATCCCCTCAGGAAATAAAAAAAGCCTCAAAGCACACACTTAAAAACTACTTTTTGGCTCGTCGAACGGCGCAAAATATACACCGAAACAATTAGGTCGAACAAAAAGGAAATAAAAAAAAAATTTCAAGACAAATAAAAATTATCAAATACACACACGCAAGCACGCACGCACACACACACACAAACACAGAGAGAGAGAAAGAGAGAGAGAGAGAGAGAGAGAAAGACACAAAAAATGGTCTTAATCTAAAAAAAATGGACGAGAATTTTCAATTTTTATATATAAGACCTATTACAAAAACGATATATTGTGAAACATTTCAACGCTTCTATCAAAAACCTTTGCATCACCAAACTAAGCAAAGCGGAGCTTTGCATCACTTTCCATACAACGAAAGCGTAGAATGGCAAGCTAACAAATAAACAGTGAGATGGAAATTGTTGTCATAAAAAAATCAACACCAAAAAAAATCAATCTAAAAAAAAACATTTGATAAATAGACCCACTAGCCTTAAACAAGTTTTAAGTATTTTACGAGCCTTCACTTAGCCAACAACACGTGATTAGACGCCAATTAATCCGAAAACAAAATTGTAAGAAAACTGTCATAGAAAACTCAACAATTTTTTGGAAATACGAAAAATTCAATCTCAAAAAAAATTAAATTGTTTGAAGATTAAATTGTTTGAATTTTTAACTGTTATACTACAACCGACCTGATTCATTCAAAACAATTATAATCCTTTTTACCCATAAAACCAATGCGAATAACCTCACTCAGTCGAGAAAACACAAGCTGAAATTATTTAGGCCGAATAAAATTTCTAAGCGAAAAAACAAAAAATGGAAAAATATACCAGCCAGGGATAGTAAATTTTTGAAAACTACAGGGTTTAATCAACAACACTTGGTTAAGACTACAATGAAAACTGTTCACAGCGCAAGTAAGCCAAAATAGCGTTGTGACAAATAAGCCGAAAAAACATAAGCCGTCAAGCTATAGTCCGACTATTGAATTTTCTCTGGAAAAAAAACAAGGTCCGACCGTGACTCAAACCGAGACCATAGGGTGCAAAGGCAAGCGAATTACATCCAGTCCAAAGGAGAAGGGACCTTAAAAAAGCTTAGGATCGGTAAAAAGCAACATCATTTTCAATTACTATGTGTAAGAAAAGTTGTTTACAGGAAAAATTCTAGTTCCCGATTACAAGACACTTGCTGTCCCAAGTGTAAAAAAAAACATAAAAAACACAAAAAAACAGAAATAAAATGCTTTAAGAAACAGTGTTTGAAGTATTTTGAACAAAATCAATCACCTTAAAGCTCTTACAACAATTTCCAGAAACCAACGATGATTGACACTTCATAAATACATCAAGCCCCATTAAAAAAAAACAGGATTATCAGGCAGTTTTCTTACTCCGCCGGAAAAAATCTACAATCAAATGACTCAAATCGTCAAATGAATTATATAAAAAACTACTATCAAATGAAAATCGGGTTCATATTTGCAAAGATGGTACATAAAAACTTGTTGATTCAAGTGCAAAAAGCTTGTACCGGTCGTTATGCGAACCGAGTTTAGTTCAGCCAGAATAAATGAAATGTCTTTGTACTTGCGATAATAAACCAGACTCGAATATTGTGATGGATCTGATTTTAGTAGTTGGATCAGCTGATTCAAATTTACTACCTATGCTAATTTTGAACCCAATTTCAAATTGAGTTAACATGCGTACACTAAAAAATTTGTTAATTTTTTTTCTGAAAAAACCCAACTTAAACAAGTGAAACATTTCTTCGTTCAATAGCACTTAAAAAATCAACCAACCCATTGTGAATGGATGCGGATTAAAAATCCAACAGATCAAATTTACATCCGAGAGAACAACTTCACTTTCGCTCTTCTTCAGTTCCCCGAAATGGTCAGCCAGCTCGCATAGGAAGTCCAGCGTCATCGATTCTGAGTCTAAACTCCAGTTTTGATCGTCAGAAGGTGTCCAGATTAGCTGGGGTTCAGTAGGTGCATCATTGATATCGTAACCCCTGTAAATTTATTCACTCATTAAAAAAGTCCAATACATTTAACGAGAAAATCAAATGGTTGTCTCAGATCGAAAAACATGTAACATTTTTGCTGATTTTGGGAAATTCAGAGATTTCACCTGTTTAACTGGAGACTTTTTAGATTTAAACTCATAAGGGGCAAGGAGCATAGCTTTTATTTGTAGCCTGAAAAACGTTTGCCCCCTTTAGATGATCTACGCCCATTTATCTCATCAAAAATTTTCGCCTTGTTCGAATTTATTGACAAATTTTGCCCCTCAAAATTTTGAAGAAAATGCTATCGAACATCCGATAGTGCAAAAATGGACATTTCGGGTGAAATTTACCAGGGGCGAAACGTGCCACATTCAATGAAGGCCCTCATAATATTAAAACAAAAACCAGGGATAACTAATTGCTGTTCAAGTAGCTCAGAATTTTTCCAGACGATACGTTAACGCAAAATATAAAAATAAATGAAACGGATTTTTTTCCAGTATTTTGTGGTGTATTTTAGTTGGTGAGAGAAGACTTAATTAGTTGAAACTACTCAAGAGTTCTTTACAAAATTTCATCAAACTTCCAGTTCTAAAAAACTATATCAATTAAAGCTCATTGACTTTCAACAACAATACATGATGAAACTAACACAATTTGAGAAAAATAAATTCTCTCATTCTGCTGGGCTAGTTTAAAATCAAAATGCACTTATGAACTTAAAACATTCACGTTTTTTCGCTCCATTTGCATTTTTGTTAAGGTGCTATATCAAACATCTGAGAGGTCAATTATCCGATAATGCAGATATCCGAACTTACACAATGGTCACGTAATAAAACGACCTCATGATCTGAAACAAAAGAAAAAGTTCAGTGGATTGGTTTTAATTTTAGAGACAGAGGCGAAGCAGTTCTTCGCAAACATTAGCGAGAACAGGGCAAAAAAGCAGCTCTATCAAGTAGAAACAAACCTCAAATTCGTAAAACTTTGCTTCGTATCGGATTCGAACATGCAACTTCGTGAATAGGAGTCTCACTCCCTGCTCTCGCGGCCACGAACGCGTAAATATCGGCAAACGCTAGTCACAAATAAAGCAGCTAATTATGCTAATAAATTGCCAATGCGATGCGGCACCAAATACAATTAGACACAATTTTGCATGTAAAAAGTTGGAATATATCAAACTGAAGGCCTCCACACTAACTTTGCATGTAACAAATTGGAAAGTATAAAGCCAAAAATTGTATAAATAAGCATTTCAAAAAAACGGAGATATTTTGAGTTGGAAAATTTATTGAAACCAAGTTTTTATTATTGTACTGTGGTTTTAAAAAAAAAGCTTTTTTAGGCGCATTTGATCAACAGAAAATGCATCAACTGTGTTAACTTATTAGTAGTTGAACGTCAAAGCACGTTTCATCAAAAGTGGCACCAATATTTGCGACTTAGGTTGGGAATAAAAGCATAGTCATACTATTACACTACGCTCGCGTAAGCTGGCTAGTGCAAAAGAGAGTTGCGCTCCACTATAAATTGCGTTTTAAACCTTTTTAGAAAAATTTTGCAAGACTTCAGGCTCATTTTCCTAGGCGAAAAACCACGCCTGCGAAAAAAAAAAGAATTTCATAAATTTCAATTCAAAGAGTTTAGAAAACTTTCTTAAATCTAGTGATCTCGATACAAACGGTAGAAATTTAAGTGCCCACTAGAAATTGGATCTGTGCCCTAGTTTTTGAAAAGTTTCGGATCTTTTTCAGCTACCTATCTTTGAACGGTACCCTTTTGTTAATGGATAATGCAATATGCGGCTCTTTTTTCAACTCCCACACCGCCCCATCTTAATAAAGCATTAATTTCATGGCCAATTTTGTAAGCCAATTTTTGTAACAATCGGGTTAAGTCAACAAAAAATCTACTTGTAAAAACACGAAGGCTGGGAGAAAAGAAAAAAGAGGCTAGTCTGCAAAAAATCATCAAATTTGAGCTGTCACAAGACCTAAACAAGTTTCTCTAATTTGTTCAATGACCTAAATAAGTGTCTTCTAAATAACTGTCCCCTAAATAAGTATCTTAAATTCGCTCATAGAAACTTGAAAGATTTCTAAGAACCCGCTCACAGACAAATTTGGCAGCATCCATACTCCTGCCCTTTTTGTAGAAAAAAACGATTAACAGAGCGACCAGACCAACTTAAAATCATATACAGATCCGATAGATGATTATTATAATGGGAGATAACGTCCATAAGTTTGTTAATAGGTTGTTGTCAGGAATGACACGTTACTTTTTGATTAGCACAAACAAGATGCAATTCTCTACCTGCAACTAGAACACAGTAATTGCAACTAGAACTTGATACTGCAACTAAAATCTATTTACAGTTCTGACTGATATAAAATGCATCAACTAGATACCATTTCAAGCTGTAAGCATCATTGTTATAAGTCAAGTATTTACTTTTAAATGTAGAACAGTAGACAAAATCCACGGTTTCAAATCAGTTGCGCTTGAGAGTAAAAAAAAACAGAATCAGAGCGCGAAAAGTACGAAGCAAAAGAGAATAAATAACTTAATGTATCATAGTTGTGGTCCTGACTTACTGCTGATGCAGGTGAAACTGGAGGAACTCCTTCAGATGTGTGAACAGAATGGCAATTGAGGTAGAGGCGGAGTCGGCATAAGACACAGAATGATCCCACGTGAACACACCATCACACGACAACTTACCATTCACACGAACCTATCACAACACGGCACACATAATATCATTCTCGGGATTTTTTGAACTTGTTCCGCCCAATATTGCAGATCTCAAAAAGTCAAAGCAGAAGTGAAAATGCTCTAATCTGATTGGTTCAAATTGAACTCGTCCGCCAAAAACAGATGAAATCATGCGTTAAATTTACTATAGAAGCGCTTTTAAGTAAATATGGTAAGAGTTAAAAAAGAGACCCCTTACGCGCACGCCGATACTTTTCAAACCCACTCCCAAAACTACCTGTTTTATGTAGCCATTGATATCAATAACTACGATTAAAATAAACAAAGGATCACTTCTTAGCTTCAAAAAACTGCTTTTTTGGCAACGGGGAGGCATCGAGAATTTCAAGAGAGAGAAGAGGGCAGATTTTTGCTGAAAGGAAACAAAACAATTTGGTAAAATCTATTGAAACCACTAACATAAACGTATGTTAGAGGCAACCTTCGAAATACTCATCGCAAATTCTGTAGATCCGCCGTGAATTTTCTAGATATTGACCGCTTTAAAAATTTTGAATTAATATAAAAGTCATTTAAAAGACAATTTAAACGACAATAGGGATTCGATGCAATTTTTAATAAGTTTTAATATAATGGTAGGAAATTAGTAGATAACGCGAATCCACTTAATTTTTGGGTGAAAGTAATAGCCGAATACAAAGTTCCTTCGCGATTTCAGTGTTTGCAATGAAATTCTTCCAATTGATGAAGCTTATTATTTAAGAATGTCTTATAAAATTTTTTAGTTCAAGAATGATTATGACAATGACGAGAAAGTACCCAAGAAAAGAACAAATCTGACAATGAAAACGAACTTCACTGATTTCCATTTCACGAAACATTATAGCAAAAACAACTCACATCTAGAAACGGTTTGGTTCTCACAATGCAGCTTAACTAAAGGCGCAAATCAAATCATCAGAAAAATTTGAAACCATTGCGACAAAAAAATTGTTCACAAAGGAAAAAATTTGAGTAGTGAGTAAAAACAAAAAAAAGCAAAAAAGAGCTCTAACATGAAAAAACAATAAGAAAATATATAAGCCTTCATGACACTCAACTTAAAATAAGAAACAGGCAGAAACTTCGGTAGTTGCAAATCATACTTCTAGTGCCTTAAATACTTAGCCGTTGCGGCTTGATCTAGACTACTTACTTTCACGCAAATTTTTGTAGGCATCAGGCAGCATATATCAGTTGTTGCTTTTTAATAAAGCGGATATAACTAGATCATGATATTTATTGAACAACTAAACTTCGAACAAAAATGTAACAGTTGCGAAGAAAAAAGTTATGCTCGCATGCTCCCATGTGGGAACAACAGTTTACACAGAGGCGAAGCTGCGTATCGCAAATACAAGCAGTTTTATGGAGTGAATTAAAAAAAAAAGATAGAAATAAGCCTCAGAATTAGTAAAACCTTGCTTCGTATGGGCTTTGAACCTGCGAGCTTTGAGAGTTGGAGTCCCACGCCCTTCCCTCTCGGTCATAAACCCTTAGCAACCGGCAAACACTAGTCACACATACGGCAGCTACATATGCTAACAAATTCCCGATGCTATGCATCAAAAATGGCACCAAATACAAATAGACACAGTTTTGCAAGTAATTTTTTGGAATAAAAACTGAAGGCATCTACACTAATTTGGCATGTAATAAACGGCAAAGCACAAAGCCACATTATGTAACAATTAAGCATTTTAATTAGTTGCAAGATATATTCAAACAGAAAAATTCTGAAATCGAGTTTTTTTTGTTATGTTGTCTGAAACAAATAGCTTTTTTCGTTTCATTTGCTAAATGTAAGATGTATCAACGGTGATAACTTATGACTATTCGAATGTCCAAGCACAGACTATCAAAAAGCCTTGAAGGTACCCCAAAAGTGGCACTAATATTCACGACTTAGATTAGAAAAAAGGAATAGTTCACTTAATTAAAAACACTAAAGTTCGCTAGTGTAAAAACCCAGAAAAAAGCGAAAAACAAGAAAACTGAAGAGAAAAACAACGCTTTTATTTAAAAAATGATGAAACTTGACTCCTACATGAACACAAAATCTAATCAAATTATCAGAACCAATGCCACAAGGAAATCATTCATACAAAAACTCAAAAAACTCAGTTCGAAAAAAAGTACTGAGAAATAACTTTGAAATATATGCCTTGAAAGAAAATATCGTGTCGAAAGCTGAAAAAATTCGGAAAAAACATCATTCCACAACGCTTTTCGAGAAACTCTTTAAATAGTGGTTCTTTTACGCTTAAGCGTCCGTATGATTTGACATCCCTAGAACTAGGTGAGGATCTAGGGTTTTCTTTTTTCTCGAGGGGGGGGGGGGGTTTGGGGATTTTCAAAAAATATTTGAAAATTGATCAAATTGATATTTTGAGCTCTCTCAGATCACTATAAAGACCCCATTTGGACCAAAGTCTCTGCGTCGCAGGTAAATTTGGCGCCAAAGGCGGAATTAGTGATGAAACCGCATTTTTTGCTCAAAATTTTCCAAAAATTGCCCAAATACGATTGTTGGACTGTTTTTGGCGCACAAAATTCGGCAAAACAGGGTCGATGTAGAGATTTGAGAGAGCTCAGAAAATCAATTCAAAAAAGGACGACAAAACAGTTCTGTGAAAATATCCAACCCCCCCCCCCCCCCCCCCCCCCCACCTTCAAGAAAAACCTAGATCCGCCCCTGGAAGGAAGCATAGCATTTAGTTGCCCAATCTAAGTTGCAAGCACAAAGCTGTTTTTTTTGTTTGTCATTATATTCATTTTTGAAATGCATAAATTATAGACAAGAAAATTACCTTCAACCGTGAATATTTGTCAACTTTCCTAAACATCATTTGGAGACTTAAATTTAATGAAAACGCTAATAATTACCGAATAAAGATCACGAAATTGAGAAATTCTTTGAAAAATTTTTCAAATTAATCATATTTCATGACTTGGAGAAAAAATTTTCGGCTTGAAGTCCCTAATTTTACTATTCGGCTTGAAGTCCCGTCGGCTTGATGTCCGGCACCCGGTTATTATAATGGGAGATAATGTCGGGAGATAAGGTCCATAAGTTTGTTAATAGGTTGTTGTCAGGAATGACACGTTACGTTTTGATTAGCACAAACAAGATCCAATTCTCTACCTGCAACTAGAACACAGTAATTGCAACTAGAACTTGATACTGCAACTAAAATCTATTTACAGTTCTGACTGATAAAAAATGCAAAATGCATCATTTACATACCATTTCAAGCTGTAAACATCATTGTTATAAGTCAAGTATTTCCTTTTAAATGTAGAACAGTAGATAAAATCCACGGTTTCAAATCAGTTGATCAGTTGCGCTTGAGAGTAAGTAAAGCACAATCAGAGCGCGAAAAGTACGAACCAAAAAAAAATAATTAACTTAATGTATCATAGTTGTGGTCCTGACTTACTGCTGATGCAGGTGAAACTGGAGGAACTCCTTCAGATGTGTGAACAGAATGGCAATTGAGGTAGAGGCGGAGTCGGCATAAGACACAGAATGATCCCACGTGAACACACCATCACACGACAACTTACCATTCACACGAACCTATCACAACACGGCACACATAATAATTCTCCGGATTTTTTTTACTTGTTCCGCCCAATATAACAAATCTCAAAAACTCAAAGCAGAAGTGAAAATGCTCCAATCTGATTGGTTTAAATTGAACTCGTCCGCCAAAAACAGATGAAATCATGCGTTAAATTTACAAGAGGAGCGCTTTTGGGTAAATATGGTAAGAGTTAAAGAAGAGACCCCTTACGCGCACGCCGATACTTTTCAAACCCACTCCCAAAACTACCTGTTTTATGTAGCCATTGATATCAAAAACTACGATTAAAATAAACAAAGGATCACTTCTTAGCTTCAAAAAACTGCTTTTTTGGCAACGGGGAGGCATCGAGAATTTCAAGAGAGAGAAGAGGGCAGATTTTTGCTGAAAGGAAACAAAACAATTTGGTAAAATCTATTGAACCCACTAACATAAACGTATGTTAGAGGCAACCTTCGAAATACTCATCGCAAATTCTGTAGATCCGCCGTGAATTTTCTAGATACTGACCGCTTTAAAAATTTTGAATTAATATAAAAGTCATTTAAAAAACAATTTAAACGACAATAGGGATTCGATGCAATTTTTAATAAGTTTTAATATAATGGTAGGAAATTAGTAGATAACGCGAATCCACTTAATATTTGGGTGAAAGTAATAGCCGAATACAAAGTTCCTTTGCAATTTAAGTGTTTGCAATGAAATTCTGCCAACTGATGAAGCTTATTATTTAAGAATGTCTTATAAAAATTTTTAGTTCAAGAATGATTATGACAATGACGAGAAAGTACCCAAGAAAAGAACAAATCTGACAATGAAAACGAACTTCACTGATTTCCATTTCACGAAACAGTATAGCAAAAACAACTCACATCTAGAAACGGTTTGGTTCTCACAATGCAGCTTAACTAAAGGCGCAAATCAAATCATCAGAAAAAGTTGAAACCATTGCGACAAAAAAATTGTTCGCAAAGCAAAAAACTTGAGTAGTGAGTAAAAACAAAAAAATCAAAAAAGAGCTCTAACATGAAAAAACAATAAGAAAATATATAAGCATTCAAGACACTCAACTTAAAATAAGAAACAGGCAGAAACTTCGGTACTTGCAAATCATACTTCTAGTGCCTTAAATACTTAGCCGTTGCGGCTTGATCTAGGCTACTTACTTTCACGCAATTTTTTGTAGGCATAGGGCAGCATATATCAGTTGTTGCTTTTTAATAAAGCGGATATAACTAGATCATGATATTTATTGAACAACTAAACTTCGAACAAAAAAGTAAGAGTTGCTAAGAAAAAAGTTATGCTCGCGCGCTCTTATGTGTGAACAACAGTTTACACAGAGGCGAAGCTGCGTATCGCAAACACAAGCAGTTTTTTGGAGTGAATTAAAAAAAGATAGAAATAAGCCTCAGAATTAGTAAAACCTTGCTTCGTATGGGCTTTGAACCTGCGAGCTTTGAGAGTTGGAGTCCCACGCCCTTCCCTCTAGGTCATAAACCCTTAGCAACCGGCAAACACTAGTCACACATACCGCAGCTACATATGCTAACAAATTCCCGATGCTATGCATCAAAAATGGCACCAAATACAAATAGACACAGTTTTGCAAGTAATTTTTTGGAATATAAACTGAAGGCATCTACACTAATTTGGCATGTAATAAACGGCAAAGCACAAAGCCACATTATGAAACAATTAAGCATTTTAATTAGTTGCGAGATATATTCAAACAGGAAAATTCTGAAATCGAGTTTTTTTTTGTTATGTTGTTTGAAACAAATAGCTTTTTTCGTTTCATTTGCTAAATGTAAGATGTATCAACGGTGATAACTTATGACTATTCGAATGTCCAAGCACAGACTATCAA